TGTTAGGGTGGGAGTCTGGTTGACTAGTGTGGTGAGTGTGCGGGTGGGAGTCTGGTTGACTAGTGTGGTGAGTGTTAGGGTGGGAGTCTGGTTGACTAGTGTGGTGAGTGTGAGGGTGGGAGTCTGGTTGACTAGTGTGGTGAGTGTCAGGGTGGGAGTCTGGTTGACTAGTGTGGTGAGTGTTAGGGTGGGAGTCTGGTTGACTAGTGTGGTGAGTGTGCGGGTGGGAGTCTGGTTGACTAGTGTGGTGAGTGTTAGGGTGGGAGTCTGGTTGACTAGTGTGGTGAGTGTGAGGGTGGGAGTCTGGTTGACTAGTGTGGTGAGTGTGAGGGTGGGAGTCTGGTTGACTAGTGTGGTGAGTGTTAGGGTGGGAGTCTAGTTGACTAGTGTGGTGAGTGTTAGGGTGGGAGTCTGGTTGACTAGTGTGGTGAGTGTTAGGGTGGGAGTCTGGTTGACTAGTGTGGTGAGTGTTAGGGTTGGAGTCTGGTTGACTAGTGTGGTGAGTGTCAGGGTGGGGGTCTGGTTGACTAGTGTGGTGAGTGTTAGGGTGGGAGTCTGGTTGACTAGTGTGGTGAGTGTTAGGGTGGGAGTCTGGTTGACTAGTGTGGTGCGTGTCAGGGTGGGAGTCTGGTTGACTAGTGTGGTGAGTGATAGGGTGGGAGTCTGGTTGACTAGTGTGGTGAGTGTCAGGGTGGGAGTCTGGTTGACTAGTGTGGTGAGTGTTAGGGTGGGAGTCTGGTTGACTAGTGTGGTGAGTGTTAGGGTGGGAGTCTGGTTGACTAGTGTGGTGAGTGTTAGGGTGGGAGTCTGGTTGACTAGTGTGGTGAGTGTGAGGGTGGGAGTCTGGTTGACTAGTGTGGTGAGTGTTAGGGTGGGGGTCTGGTTGACTAGTGTGGTGAGTGTGAGGGTGGGAGTCTGGTTGACTAGTGTGGTGAGTGTTAGGGTGGGAGTCTGGTTGACTAGTGTGGTGAGTGTTAGGGTGGGGGTCTGGTTGACTAGTGTGGTGAGTGTTAGGGTGGGAGTCTGGTTGACTAGTGTGGTGAGTGTTAGGGTGGGAGTCTGGTTGACTAGTGTGGTGAGTGTTAGGGTGGGGGTCTGGTTGACTAGTGTGGTGAGTGTTAGGGTGGGAGTCTGGTTGACTAGTGTGGTGAGTGTTAGGGTGGGAGTCTGGTTGACTAGTGTGATGAGTGTTAGGGTGGGAGTCTGGTTGACTAGTGTGGTGAGTGTTAGGGTGGGGGTCTGGTTGACTAGTGTGGTGAGTGTTAGGGTGGGAGTCTGGTTGACTAGTGTGATGAGTGTTAGGGTGGGAGTCTGGTTGACTAGTGTGGTGAGTGTTAAGGTGGGAGTCTGGTTGACTAGTGTGGTGAGTGTTAGGGTGGGAGTCTGGTTGACTAGTGTGGTGAGTGTTAGGGTGGGAGTCTGGTTGACTAGTGTGGTGAGTGTCAGGGTGGGGGTCTGGTTGACTAGTGTGGTGAGTGTTAGGGTGGGAGTCTGGTTGACTAGTGTGGTGAGTGTCAGGGTGGGGGTCTGGTTGACTAGTGTGGTGAGTGTTAGGGTGGGAGTCTGGTTGACTAGTGTGGTGAGTGTTAGGGTGGGAGTCTGGTTGACTAGTGTGGTGAGTGTCAGGGTGGGGGTCTGGTTGACTAGTGTGGTGAGTGTTAGGGTGGGAGTCTGGTTGACTAGTGTGGTGAGTGTGCGGGTGGGGGTCTGGTTGACTAGTGTGGTGAGTGTCAGGGTGGGGGTCTGGTTGACTAGTGTGGTGAGTGTGCGGGTGGGAGTCTGGTTGACTAGTGTGGTGAGTGTTAGGGTGGGAGTCTGGTTGACTAGTGTGGTGAGTGTCAGGGTGGGGGTCTGGTTGACTAGTGTGGTGAGTGTTAGGGTGGGAGTCTGGTTGACTAGTGTGGTGAGTGTGCGGGTGGGAGTCTGGTTGACTAGTGTGGTGAGTGTTAGGGTGGGAGTCTGGTTGACTAGTGTGGTGAGTGTGAGGGTGGGAGTCTGGTTGACTAGTGTGGTGAGTGTCAGGGTGGGAGTCTGGTTGACTAGTGTGGTGAGTGTTAGGGTGGGAGTCTGGTTGACTAGTGTGGTGAGTGTGCGGGTGGGAGTCTGGTTGACTAGTGTGGTGAGTGTTAGGGTGGGAGTCTGGTTGACTAGTGTGGTGAGTGTGAGGGTGGGAGTCTGGTTGACTAGTGTGGTGAGTGTGAGGGTGGGAGTCTGGTTGACTAGTGTGGTGAGTGTTAGGGTGGGAGTCTAGTTGACTAGTGTGGTGAGTGTTAGGGTGGGAGTCTGGTTGACTAGTGTGGTGAGTGTTAGGGTGGGAGTCTGGTTGACTAGTGTGGTGAGTGTTAGGGTGGGAGTCTGGTTGACTAGTGTGGTGAGTGTCAGGGTGGGGTCTGGTTGACTAGTGTGGTGAGTGTTAGGGTGGGAGTCTGGTTGACTAGTGTGGTGAGTGTTAGGGTGGGAGTCTGGTTGACTAGTGTGGTGAGTGTCAGGGTGGGAGTCTGGTTGACTAGTGTGGTGAGTGATAGGGTGGGAGTCTGGTTGACTAGTGTGGTGAGTGTCAGGGTGGGAGTCTGGTTGACTAGTGTGGTGAGTGTTAGGGTGGGAGTCTGGTTGACTAGTGTGGTGAGTGTTAGGGTGGGAGTCTGGTTGACTAGTGTGGTGAGTGTTAGGGTGGGAGTCTGGTTGACTAGTGTGGTGAGTGTGAGGGTGGGAGTCTGGTTGACTAGTGTGGTGAGTGTTAGGGTGGGGGTCTGGTTGACTAGTGTGGTGAGTGTGAGGGTGGGAGTCTGGTTGACTAGTGTGGTGAGTGTTAGGGTGGGAGTCTGGTTGACTAGTGTGGTGAGTGTTAGGGTGGGGGTCTGGTTGACTAGTGTGGTGAGTGTTAGGGTGGGAGTCTGGTTGACTAGTGTGGTGAGTGTTAGGGTGGGAGTCTGGTTGACTAGTGTGGTGAGTGTTAGGGTGGGGGTCTGGTTGACTAGTGTGGTGAGTGTTAGGGTGGGAGTCTGGTTGACTAGTGTGGTGAGTGTTAGGGTGGGAGTCTGGTTGACTAGTGTGATGAGTGTTAGGGTGGGAGTCTGGTTGACTAGTGTGGTGAGTGTTAGGGTGGGGGTCTGGTTGACTAGTGTGGTGAGTGTTAGGGTGGGAGTCTGGTTGACTAGTGTGATGAGTGTTAGGGTGGGAGTCTGGTTGACTAGTGTGGTGAGTGTTAAGGTGGGAGTCTGGTTGACTAGTGTGGTGAGTGTTAGGGTGGGAGTCTGGTTGACTAGTGTGGTGAGTGTGAGGGTGGGGGTCTGGTTGACTAGTGTGGTGAGTGTTAGGGTGGGAGTCTGGTTGACTAGTGTGGTGAGTGTTAGGGTGGGGGTCTGGTTGACTAGTGTGGTGAGTGTTAGGGTGGGGGTCTGGTTGACTAGTGTGGTGAGTGTGAGGGTGGGAGTCTGGTTGACTAGTGTGGTGAGTGTTAGGGTGGGAGTCTGGTTGACTAGTGTGGTGAGTGTCAGGGTGGGAGTCTGGTTGACTAGTGTGGTGAGTGTGAGGGTGGGAGTCTGGTTGACTAGTGTGGTGAGTGTTAGGGTGGGGGTCTGGTTGACTAGTGTGGTGAGTGTTAGGGTGGGGGTCTGGTTGACTAGTGTGGTGAGTGTTAGGGTGGGAGTCTGGTTGACTAGTGTGGTGAGTGTTAGGGTGGGGGTCTGGTTGTCTAGTGTGGTGAGGACTGGTGCTCAGGTTGGAGTTAACGTGAGCATCAGGTTGGGGCAATGTAGTTTTGCTAAAGGTTGGGACTGGTTTGTTCAGCGTGGTAAGGATTGGCGCCTGGGTCGGCTTGGCTTGCGTGATTCGGGGGTGTGAAGGTTTCGGGGGTTTCGCGATCTCTGCCACTCACTGCCGCGTGCCCCTGGGATTGTCTTCTCGCTCTCTCGGTGTTCACAGCGAGGGCGTCTTAAACTCCCCCAACCCATCCCCGTGAAAACAAAAAACCAAAACCCCAGCACAAAAATACTTCACCACCACCGTCAAAAACACGGGCTGACCCTCGAGAGGTATCAACGCACACACACAAAGACAAAGATCTCCCATATAGCCTGAACAGAATGTTGGGGCAAGTGCTGTTAGCGAGCACCTATGAAGGCCGGCACGGCACACGAGGGGGTGTGGGTGGCCAACACCACGCCCGGCCACCTTTGCCTCCCCGGTGGCGATGTTTGAGGCTGAGTCGACCTAGGGGGAGGCCCAGGAACCGGTTCAGATAATCGTCACCGGTGTTGATGGCCGTGAGCGGAGCGCGTTGAAACCGCTCCACCGCACGCACGCGCGTGCACGCGCGGGCAGGAGAACAAGCAGGCAGTCACATGTAGCCGCGATGGCCCGGCGCGCCAGTGCTGATGGTAAAAGCCCTTATGAAACGCGCACGCGTTTCATCATCGCACGCGTGTCATCATCGTCGTCATCCCGCCATATCTCGGCAGCCCACGCGCCCGGCCGGCTGCAGGAAGATTCGCTACAAAACCAAAGAGAGAAGTTTGTGATCCTTGTCTCTCGCCTCGCTCCGTTGGACTCGTGTGCCGATTTCGATCGCAGCCGTAGGGGAACATTCCGCTTAACCAGTTCTGTGAAACCGGCCACCTGGAGTCCCCTTGAGAGGGGACCAGGGTAGGGGTTTCATACCCCCCCTCTACCCCTCCACCCCCTTGCCCTGGGGGGGGGGGGGGGTGAGGGGTGTTCCCCAACAGCTGCTTTAAAATAATGAAGCACCCTGGCACAGCGGGCGATGCCACACTCCGCCCTGCCAGCGGTCGAATTAGCGCACGGGCTCCTCGTCGGGGCACTGCGGTGTGGAATCCCTACGCACCCCCTAATCGTGCATGGACCCCCCCCCCCACCTCTAGTGAAGAGAGAGGGGACCCCCGTTGCGAACCCTTGGTTTCAAGGGCTTCCGTACGATTTAACTTGACGCATGCCGGCCTATTGGCTGTGGATGAATTTCGGTTCCGTGCTCCACACCGGGTTTTCCTGGGCGGTGGCGGCCGTCGCGGGTGGGGGGTTGGGGATGAGGAGGTAGTCCGGCCCCCCCCCCCAAGAGCTTCTCTCTCGCCCACGCGGTCGTGAAAATCCGGTCCCGGGATCCGGGGCGGCTCCCGCTCCTTAACACCGAGCCTCCCGCTCTGCGACCACACTCGCGCACAGTGAGTGCCGTTCACTTTGAGAGCCGGGGGGGGGATCGCACCACGCTCCAGCGGACCGCACCGGATCGGAGTCACACGTGAGTTCCATGTGAGTCACACGGGGTGGTGGTGGTGGTGGGGGGGGGCACTAGCTCTCGTCGGTAAACCTTCACGTGAGATCTTCTTGGTTCTTTCGGTAAAGTCACGTAGAAGGGAAATAATAAAATAATAGAAATAAAACATAATAAAATAATTCTCACGACGTTTCGGCCACAACGCAAGCAGCCGTACTCAGGTGAAGAACAGGTCTGTCGTGAGAATTGTATTTTATTATGTTTCATATTTATTATTTTATTATTTCCCTTCTACGTGACTTTACCGAAAGAACCAAGAAGATGAATCCCTGCAGTCACGAAAGCTTTAAATCGAAATCTTCACGTGAGATGTTTCTCATAAGAGGCCGACTCAGTGGTGTTGTTGTGATTGGGTCGATGAAGAGGAAAAGTGGTGGAATTGGTGGCGCCGTGGTTTGGTTCGACGTTGAGCTGGCGCGTTGGTGGGGCTCGCTCGCTCGGCAGCGGACCGTACGGACCGGGTCATTGGTGGCCTGGCTCAGCGGTTGCTTGACTAAATGGTGAGGTTGCTCGCTGTTTTTTCCGGCTCGGCGTTTGGTCGGCTGAGTTTTGGGGTGGTTCAATGCCGAGGTGGAGCAATGATGGACTTGCTGCGTGGTGGTGATGGTGGTGGTGTGGCGACTCAGTTCTGGTCTGGCTCAATGATGACCTGGCTCAGCGATGGGCTTGCCATGCGGTGGTGATGTTGATGGTGTGGCGACTCAGTTCTGGGCTGGCTCACTGATGACCTGGCTCAATGTTGACCTGGCCATGCGGTGGTGATGTTGATGGTGTGGCGACTCAGTTCTGGGCTGGCTCACTGATGACCTGGCTCAATGTTGACCTGGCCATGCGGTGGTGATGTTGATGGTGTGGCGGCTCCGTTCTGGCCTGGCTCACTGATGAGCTGGCTTGGTGATGACCTTGCTGCGTGGTGGTGATGTTGATGGTGGTGCGACTCAATTCTGGCCTGGCTCACTGTTGAGCTGGCTCAGCAATGGGCTTGCCATGTGGTGGTGATGTTGATGGTGGTGCGACTCAGTTCTGGCCTGGCTCACTGATGACCTGGCTCGGTGATGACCTTGCTGCGTGGTGGTGATGTTGATGGTGTGGCGGCTCCGTTCTGGCCTGGCTCACTGATGACCTGACTCAGCAATGGGCTTGCCATGTGGTGGTGATGTTGATGGTGTGGCAACTCAGTTCTGGGTTGGCTCACTGATGACCTGGCCCAGCGATGGGCTTGCTGCGTGGTGGTGATGTTGATGGTGGTGCGACTCAATTCTGGCCTGGCTCACTGATGAGCTGGCTCACTGATGACCAGGCCATGTGGTGGTGATGCTGATGGTGGTGCGACTCAGTTCTGGCCTGGCTCACTGTTGACCTGGCTCAGCGATGGGCTTTTTGCGTGGTGGTGATGTTGATGGTGTGGCGGCTCAGTTCTGGGCTGGCTCACTGTTGACCTGGCTCAATGTTAACCTGGCCGCGTGATGGTGATGTTGATGGTGGTGCGACTCAGTTCTGGGCTGGCTCACTGATGAGCTGGCTCAGCAATGGGCTTGCCATGTGGTGGTGATGTTGATGGTGGTGCGACTCAATTCTGGCCTGGCTCACTGTTGAGCTGGCTCAGCAATGGGCTTGCCATGTGGTGGTGATGTTGATGGTGGTGCGACTCAATTCTGGCCTGGCTCACTGTTGAGCTGGCTCAGCAATGGGCTTGCCATGTGGTGGTGATGTTGATGGTGTGGCGACTCCGTTCTGTGCTGGCTCGGTGCGGGTTTGTGCGTCGCCGGCGGGCGGGCGGGCGGGCGGGCGGGGTGATGTTGGGGCAGGTGGTGTCTCTCGTCCGCCCGGCCGCGAGCCTCCTGGGCGGCACGTGTTGTTGGCCGGAGGAATGCGCGAGGAATGCGGAGCTTCGGGAACTCCTCCCGCGCCACCCCTGCCAGTTTGTGGAGGAGGACGAGGACGAGGCGTTCGTTGGTTGATGGGGGAAGATGAGAAAAATAACGGGCGGGACGTGGCGAGTCGCACCCCCCCCGCACCCTCTCCACTCGCTCGCGGCGAAGACCAGAAGAACAGACCTGGCTCAGACGACTTGAAGGGGGCTTTTGTGAGGAATCGTCGTGTGTGTGTGTCTGTGTGTGTCTGTGTGTGTGTCTGTGTATGGTTGTGTGCGTGTGTCTGTGTGTGTCTATGGTCATGTGTGTGTCTGTGTATGGTTGTGTGTGTGTGTCTGTGTGTGTCTGTGTGTGTGGGGAGCGGTAGTGTAGCGGTTAGCGCGCTGCGCTATGAACCTGGCGACCCGGGTTCGATTCCCGCTCACGGCTAACACCAGTGACGATGATCTGAACCGGTCCTGGGCCTCCCCTAGGTCGACTCAGCCTTAAATGAGTACCTGGTGCGGTGTGTAAACATCGCCACTGGGGAGACAAAGGCGGTCGGGCGTGGCGCTGGCCACCCACCCCCTCGTGTACCGTTCCGGCCTTCATAGGTGCTCGCTAACAGCACTTGCCCCTACAGTCTGTTCAGGCTATACGTGGGATCTTTGTCTTGTCTGTGTGTGTGTATGGTCGTGTGTGTGTCTGTGTATGGTCGTGTGTGTGTCTGTGTATGGTCGTGTGTGTGTCTGTGTGTGTCTGTGTGTGTCTGTGTGTGTCTGTGTTTGGTCGTGTGTGTGTCTGTACGTTGGGGGAGTGGTGACCCAGGTTCGATTCCCACTTGAGACCAATAACAGCGGCGAATATGTGAACCCAGCCCTGGGGCTTCCCTAGGTTGACTTGGCCTTAAATTAGTACCCTCAACAGACTGTTGAAGGCTGTATGGGGAATCTTTGTATTTGCATGAGCTGTGAGTGCATCTGCTGTGTGTGTATGCTCTGTTTGCTATGTTTTTGCTGCGTGTCATGTTGCTGTGTGCTGTGCACGTATTGTGTGTGCATTTGTCCTATGCCTTGTATGTACTGTGTTAGCCTGTCATGCATGTGCTATGTGTACTATACGTGTACCATGCGTGCCGGTTGCGTTTGCTGTGCTTATGCCCGCCAGTGCGTGTGCTGTGCATGTGGTGAGTCTGCTGTGCGTGCGATATGTCTGTGATGTGTATGTGGTGTGTCTGTGCTGTGCGTGTGGTGTGTCTGTGTGTGTGGTGTGTCTGTGCTGTGCCTGAGTGCGCTGTGTGTGTGTGTGCTGTGGGTGTGGTGTGTCTGTGATGTGTATATGGTGTGTCTGTGCGTGTGGTGTGTCTGCGCGCTGTGTCTGCGTGCGTTGTGTCTGTGTGCGCTGTGTCTGCGCTGTGCGTGCTGTGTGTCTGTGTGTGTGGTGTGTCTGTGCTGTGCCTGAGTGCGCTGTGTGTGTGCTGTGTATGTGGTGTGTCTGTGCGTGTGGTGTGTCTGCGCGCTGTGCCTGCGTGCGCTGTGTCTGTGCTGTGCCTGAGCGCGCTGTGTCTGCGCTGTGCCTGTGTGCTATACAGATGCCGACCTGCGTGACGAGGTAGGACGGTTTGCGGCAGGAGGAGGAGGCAGAGGAAGGGACCCACGGCAGGGCCCTTGGCTATGCTCGGTGACCACTGCGTTCTTCTACGCAACACCTAGGGTGGTGAGGAGGGTGGTGAGGAGGGTGGTGAGGAGGGTGGTGAGGAGGGTGGTGAGGAGGGTGGTGAGGGGAGAGCAGCAGGGGAGATGGGTACCGTGCCGGCACTGGCGCTAGTGCTGGGAGCGCTGTGCGTGGCCGCCCAGGGGCCGGTGGTGCCCCGAGTCAGCTTCTCCTACGAAGGTGAGCGCTGGCTGTGGTGGTGATGGTCGGTGCGATGGGTTTTGTGCGATGATGGTGTGGGTGAGGGCGTGGTGTGATGGTGGGTGTTGCGATGGTGGTGGGTGTGATGGTCGTGATGTGATGGTGATGTGATGGGTGCGTGATGGCTGGAGGGTGTGATAGCGGCCGTGATGGTGATGGGTGGTGATGGCGCTGTGTGCGATTATGGGAGGGTGTGAAAGTGGTTGGTGATGTGATGTTGATGGGTGTGGCGGTGGTGGTGGCGGGCGTGATGGAGGACGATTTGATAGCAGCCACGGCGGTGGAGGATGCGGTGATGGTCTAGGCTGCGATGGTGGTGGTTTTAATGGCTTCCTCGTTTAACTCGCACCGCTCGCCCTCCTTGCCACGCTGTTCCGCGTCCCGCGGTGCATTATACGGGGCCGTTGGATTGCCGGGTAGAAGTGGTGGTGGAAGGGGGGGGGGAGCTTCTTATGGAGCCGAGTGAGATTGCCTGCACCGGAGTGACAGCAAAGGAAACTCCGGTGCGCTGGTCGGCAAGGGCCAGTCGGCCGATCCGTGCCCCCCCCCCACCTCGCTCGCCGTGCGGGATTGGGCGACGAGCGAGAACCGGTGGGGCGAGCCGTTGTGCCCTGCCGATGGCGCTGGCCTGCAATGGCCTCGTCCCAAACGTGCGTAATATTCGCGCAAAGTCTCGTCGCATTTTCCCCCGCCCTCCAGGTCAGATCGTTTTGTAACGTTTAAATGTCGAAGCAAATGTTTTTGGCGTTTTTCGCTCGTCCTTGTACCAGCCCAAGGTTTTCTTCTCAAGTTCTCGGCGGAATAACAAAAACCCGTTTCAACAAAATCAAATTCTTTCCCTTGCGCTGCCGCCGCTCTGGAATTCCTCCCCCCTGTCATCTCCCGCCTCTTTCGAAGCTCGCACGAGAATAAATAAATAAGTCGAGAATAACCTCGGCTTTAACCCGAGCGACGTGCTGCAACTCCTCTCCACGTCACGTTTTCGTGGACCGTTACCCGCCGGCCACTTTGACCTTTTGAACCTTTGGGCCCCTCCACAGGCATGGCATTCCCGCTGCCAGCGTACCCGCACGCGGAACGCCCGCTGTGTATTTCCCACTGCCTGTTCAACCCCCCCCCCCCCACTCCGAGGGAGTGATGATCGTAATGATTGTGTTCATAGTGGGAGGTGTTGTTAACGGCGCCATGAGGCCGGCGGAACGAACGGTGCAAATTTCGCCTCCGATGATTATCTCTCATCATCAGCGGCGTCCCATTGGAGATTACAACCCCCGCCCGTCCCGCGTGTAGCTTGAACAGACTGTTGGGGCAAGTGCCGTTAGCTAGTAGCAGGACCTATGAAGGCCGGTACGGTGGTACACGAGGGCGTGGGTGGCCAGCACCACGCCCGGCCGCCTTTGTCTCCCCCAGTGTACCCATTTGAGGCCGAGTCGACCTAGGGGAGGCCCAAGAACCCCTTGAGATAATTGCGTCACTGGTGTTGGGCGTGAGCGGGAATCGAACTCGGCTCGCCGGTTTAGCAGCGGAGCGAGCCAACTGCAACAACAACCGCTCCCCGCAGCGCCCACGTCGCCCCCCGCACTTAAATGGCGCCCGCTTATGATTATTGAGCGCTCGACGATTGCAGTGTCGATAAAGCCGGGGTTTAGGGGGGGAGGTTCGGAACACACGCCCCCCCCCCCCCCCCCCGCTTCAGTTCACGCGGCACACGAATGTGTGCCGTGCGGTCCGCGAATTCGTGACCCGTTCGTTGCGGCCCGGCGGCCACGCGAGCCCAACCGCGATGCAGCGGCGCACAGGCAAAATTTTTTTTTTTCCCCAGCGATCCGCTGCCAGAAAGTTTCGGCCGCACTAATCGAGTACTAGAGGGGGGATGGGGACATACGTTCGAGCTGGGCAAACGGCGCCGCATTCAAATGATATTATCGCACCGTCAGTTACTTCTGTCATTGCAAGGGCCTCACTCCCCCCCCACCAAACCGTTGCCCCCCCCCCCCCACCCCTGCAGAGCTGGCGCAGGAGGCGGCGATGAGTTTCCACGCCGTGCCCAACGCGTCGGCGCTGCTGCTGGTGCCGCAGCGCTCGGCGCTCTACGTGGGCGCGCGCGACGCCATCCTCGCCCTGGACGCCCGCAACGTCTCCCGCGAGCTCCACCCCGCCGTGAGTGAGGGGGGGGACCCCGCTAGCAGCTGGGGGGACCCCTAGCCAGGCGACCCGGGGCGTGGGGGCACCGGGGGGACGTGGATCTGGGGGACCCCACTACCCAGGGGACCAAAGGGTACCCAGGGGACAGGGACCAAGAGAGACCCGAGGGATGTGGGAGGGGGATCCAGGGGGGCCGTAGAGAGCGGGGACCTCGAGAGAGACGGACCCCGACGCTCGTGACCCAGACACTCCGTGACTTAGAGGTCCTGAGACTCGCGACCTCCGGCAGGCCCATGAATCCTGACCCCGTGACCTCTGACGCTGCGACCTCGGGTTGACGCGGGTGACCTCCCTGCGTTTAATCTTCGTCTCTTTGAGAGGTGTCTGCTGAAGGCTTGGGTGCCGTGAACGGCCGTGGGGTTCCCTCGACATCGTGACGCTTCGTGTTGAGTCGTGTTGTCACCGGAGTTCTCTGTTTGTGTCTGTGAATGCCTGTGCCTGTCGAGACGTCTGCTTGACCATCGGTCCGACTGCGTTGTCTGTCTGTCCGGCCGCCCTGTCTGCGTGTCCTTTTCTCGAGCGTTCGTCATCACGGCTGTGACCCTCTTGCATCTGTGTCTGTTTGCCTCTCTCATCAGCTCTCCTGGAAAGCTGAAAGCCAAATGGGCATGTGTCAGTCGAAGAGGAACAGCCAGGTACTATAAACCAATACAAACTACGCTTAAATATCGCTATTTTTTTCAGATGCAGCCTGCCTATCACAAATGATAGCCCAACTAAGTGGCTTATCACATTGAAATTTATAGCAGCCAAATACTCTTGAACACGTTTATAAATGTGGAGGGAAAAACCGGAGGACCCGGAGAAAAATCCACGTGACCACCACGGAGAGAGAGAGACACCGCAAACTCCGAATACAGAACAGGCGTCAGGGTCGGGATCAAACCCACGGCCTCCTGCATACCAGGCGAGGTAGTCAACATCTCCTAGCCACCGCGGCGCCCCAATGCCTACAATGCTCTCCTCACTCTCTGCACCATCACCTCTCCCCATCGCAACGCAGGGAGATGGGGAGGCCCTGTCAAGAATGTCGACCCTGTCGTGAGCATGGCAGGTGGGGGGGGGGGCTCTGCTGTGGTCACAGGATCCTGTTGTAACTTGGCGGCGGGTGGGAGGCCTATCACATGACCATGGTTTTCTTTTTACATCCATGGTGGGGAGGGGGCGGTGGCATTGTGACCGTGTGGATCCCATAATCACTGCGGGGGACCCCAGTGTGTCCGTTAGGGCCAAAATTGTGGCCATGTGGGTCTGTGGTCCTGTCATCATCAGTGTGAGAACGGGGGCTGTGTTGTGAGCGCGAGGGGGGCCCCGGTGCGATTGTGAGCCCGGTGTGAGCGTGAGGGGGGCCCCGGTGCGATTGTGAGCCCGGTGTGAGCGTGTGGGATGCCCTGTGCCGCAGAGGGAGTGCTTCAACTTCGTGCGGGTGCTGCACCACCTGAACGGCACGCAGCTGTACGCGTGCGGCACCGGCGCCTTCCAGCCCAAGTGCGCCTACATCGTGAGTGGTGCCGCCCCCCCCCCCCACACGCCAGGGGGGGTGGGGACGCGCGCGTGGGTGTTCTTGAGCGGGCGCGTGCGTGTTTGGAACGGCGGAAGTGCGGCTAGCGCGCTGCGCTACGAACCCGGCGACCGCCTCGGGGTTCGATTCCCTCTCGCGCTCGACACCGGTGACGATCGTCCGAACCGTTCCTGGCCACCCACCCCCTCGTGTGCCGCACCAACCTTCAAAGGTGCTCATCAACAGTTCTAAAAGTCTGTTATGGCTATACGGGTGTGGGGGGGGGGGGATCTTTGTGTTTATTGGTGGAGCAGTCGTGCAGTGGTTCGCGCACTGCACTATGGAACACACTTTGGGGTGTTGTTGTCGTTATGCATTGGCTTGTGTGGGTGAGTATTACTGTGTCTATGTACTGTGCGTTGAACTTCTTTCGCACCGTACGTAGCCAACCGTGTTAATGGGAGGTGTGGGGGAAGGACAACAAACTAAACACAAAAAACTGTTCTCAAAAAAAGAGCTTTCAATCTAGATGATTTAACAGTGCACGTTCGTGCTTGTTGTGTGTCGATGGGAGCCGGTGTACGTTCTGGTACGAGTTCACGCGTGCTGGTGTGACCTGTGGCTGTGACCCCGTGCGACCCCCGTGCGATCCGGCGTGTAGAACGTGGCCGACTTCTCGTTTGTGAAAAAGCCTGGAGGGAGCGTGATGGAGGAGGACGGCAAGGGCAAGTGCCCCTTTGACCCCGAGCAGAGGCACACCTCGCTCATGACCGGTGCGTGTCCATCGCAGCTCCCACACTTCAGTTTCAGTTTAATTTGTTTGATGTAGCCCTGTGAGCCATTCGGCTCTTGAATCGGGTGCAACCGCAACAAACAAAAAAAACATGAACAATAAAACATCTTAAAGTGACTACGCGCAAACATAAAAATCCAGGAAAAAACTGCAAAGTCTTCCAAAAAAATATAAACCGTACACCAACGCTGTGTGCAAAAATCCCAGTGGGATGCAAGTCAAACAACAACAACCACAAGACAACTCCGTACTACAACAAACAAACATGGCCAAACCAAAAAACTTTTCGAAATCACCAAAATGAAGCCATAAAAGCAATGTAACAGTGATCATAGGAACTGTGACCGAAATTCACAATAAACGACATAAACAACATGTACCACCAAACCCTGTAGCCATAGCTGGCTGCATGAGTCACTCCACAACAGCAGGAGCATCGGTAGGAGTATCAACATTTTTCAATGCACCTTTAAAGATCAGCACACTAAATCAAAACACAAGATCATACGTTGCAGCGGTCATCCGGAACGAAAACATTTGATTTTAGGCCACTGAATTGCAGTGGCAGCTCGGGGTGTACAACTCCTCTAGAGCAGTTTTGAGTGAAGATCTCACAGGTAGTGATTAAAGTTGTAGTTTATTGGCAATTGCATTCCAGACCCTGGGGGCCTCAACAGCAAAGGCCCTTCCTCCAGTATTTGTACGGCAATAAGGAATGTGAAGCTGGTAAACGAGCGAAGACCTTAGGTCACATTTGTTCTTCGAAACAGAGAGGAGATCCAGCAGATAGTCTGCGGATTTTGCCCTCCAGTCACCCACGCCACACTACACACCTCACTTCACCACACACACGCTCTGTATTTACCCGCACACCACACTAAAGATCCCACACACACCGCTCTACGCACACACCGCTGTACACACCGCACATCCTACACCCACCCACCACAACCGCGCATTCTACACACTCTCTGCACCAATCTCCACACGCCTCACCCCACGCCTCCACCCACGCCTCCACCCCACCCCTCACCCCGCCCCTCACCCCACCCCTCACCCCGTGCCTCACCCCACCCCTCACCCCACACCTCACCCCACGCCTCACCCCACCCCTCACCCCACACCTCACCCCACACCTCACCCCACACCTCACCCCACGCCTCACCCCACCCCTCACCCCACCCCTCACCCCGTGCCTCACCCCACCCCTCACCCCACACCTCACCCCACGCCTCACCCCACGCCTCACCCCACACCTCACCCCACCCCTCACCCCACGCCTCACCCCACCCCTCACCCCACTCCTCACCCCACACCTCACCCCACCCCTCACCCCACGCCTCACCCCACACCTCACCCCACACCTCACCCCACACCTCACCCCACGCCTCACCCCACACCTCACCCCACCCCTCACCCCGTGCCTCACCCCACTCCTCACCCCACTCCTCACCCCACTCCTCACCCCACGCCTCACCCCACTCCTCACCCCACTCCTCACCCCACTCCTCACCCCACCCCTCACCCCACGCCTCACCCCACTCCTCACCCCACCCCTCACCCCGCGCCTCACCCCACCCCTCACCCCACTCCTCACCCCACTCCTCACCCCACTCCTCACCCCACTCCTCACCCCGCGCCTCACCCCACTCCTCACCCCGCGCCTCACCCCACTCCTCACCCCACCCCTCACCCCACCCTCACCCCACCCCTCACCCCACCCCTCACCCACTCCTCACCCCACGCCTCACCCCACGCCTCACCCCGCGCCTCACCCCACTCCTCACCCCACTCCTCACCCCACTCCTCACCCCACTCCTCACCCCACTCCTCACCCCACTCCTCACCCCACTCCTCACCCCACTCCTCACCCCACGCCTCACCCCACGCCTCACCCCACCCCTCACCCCACGCCTCACCCCACCCCTCACCCCACCCCTCACCCCACGCCTCACCCCACGCGAGTCATCGAGGGCCGTCGTGTCGACCTCCCGGCTGAGTTGGCCGCAGAGAGACGGCGCAGCCGTGCGGGGCACCACAGCGGAGAGGGATCGCAGCGATTTCGCGGTTAGAGAGCTCCGTGCGTCGCCGCATTCGGGAGCCGCGTGCCGCGTCGCCGTTCTCGGTTGTGCCGGCCGGTGCCGCGCAGCGCCGGCAAATTCGTTCGTTTTTATCCTCGGGCTCACGCCTGCCGAAACCCTCCATCGAAAACCCAACATTCCCCACGTCAACAAAAGTCTCCCCCCCCCCCCCCGCCTCTCATCTTTAATCGAGCGTCGACGCCAGAGGTCGCAACCGGGTACCCAATACCCGTACCCTACCCGATACCTGGCTACCCGTACCCAGCCGGGTACGGGTACCCGTTTGCGACCCTGGTGCGGCCGGGTACGGGTACGGGTAGGCCGTGAGTCACCGGTGAGTAACCGTTTGTCACTCATTTCGGGTAGGGTACGGGTAGCGTACGGGTACCCATACCCGACCGGGTACGGGTACGAGTAGCCGTTTGCGATCCTGGTGCGGCCGGGTACGGGTACGGGTAAGGAATCAAAACCCGTTTGCGACTTCTGGTCTTCGCCAGTGGTAGCGTAACACTCGACGGAGAGCGACGGGCGTGACGGTGACGGCGGCACCGCGTCTCCCCCCTCCCTCTGCAGGCGGCGAGCTCTATTCGGGCACGGGCAGCAACTACCTGGGCAGCGAGTCGGTGGTGCAGCGGAGTCCCAGCAGCATGTCCAGCGAGCTGTCGAGCAGCTGGCTCTACAGTGAGTTCGCCCCCCCCCGCCTCCTTCTCTCTCCCCCCACCCCCACCACCCCACGCCCCCCCCGCTTCTCTCTTCCCCCCCCCCCCCGCCTCGCCCCGCTCACCACCGCCGGAACCCCGGGTTCGGATCCAGGTTTCCGCCACCCCAAACTATGATTCACCTTTCCTGGAAATCAACCCCCCTCCTCCCCCACCCCGCCAATTTGTGTAGAAATTCAAATCTGCAGACTTTGCACGCCATCAACGACGCCCGCGACGCTGGCCGATTATTTCTCCGTCGAATAAGTTCTTATTGTAAAGTGACGTAGAAAATTAATAATAGATTGCGACGTTTCGATCGCCACACAAGCGGTCGTCCTCAGGTGGGGGCGACCATTTGTGTGGCGATCGAAACGTCGCGATCTATTATACATTTTCTACGTGGCTTTACCGAAAGAGCAAAAGAGTACGGATTCAAATGAAGATTAAATTGTTATTCATTATATTAATCGGCGGAGGGGCGGGGGGGCAGGTGGCCGGGATTGACAAACGTAGCCTAACTCTGTATTACAATTTCCTGCCTGGCATTTTTGCCCTTGATTCGGCCTATGCTCAGCCACTGTGATCACTAAAACAAACTCGGTAGTCTCCCGATTATCCGCTGATAATTAAAAATAGTGGATGATCGAAAATTTAGAACCATTTTCCACGGATCTCTATGCAAAAAAACCCACTATGATAGGGGTATAAATTATGTTTAATTTAAGAAATTTGAGGAGCACAACTGACAATTTTGATTGCTACTCTTGTAAAGATATGCAACTCCTGTACTGAAGCGGCGATCACATGGGGAACATACTTTTTCGGTTTGAGCACCTGATTTGTATCAAATATATCCAAGAATAGCTATGTACAACTGTTTATAGATGATTAATTTGGGCCTAAAGGGGAAAATCCACGAGTTATTAATTTATGTCAAAATCTCAGGTGCGCGCGGTTAATCCGCAAATCGGATAAACTGTCCGCGGATGATCGAGATTCGACTGTACGTGCATGCACGACGACCTTGTTGTTGGTGTTGTTGTCATTGGTGATGTTGTTGGTGGTGTTGACGTTGTTGGCGTTGTTGGCGTTGTTGGTGTTGTTGACGTTGGTGTTGTTGTTGACGTTGTTGACGTTGTTGTCGTTGGTGATATTGTTGGTGTTGGTGACGTTGTTGGTGTTGTTGACGTTGTTGGTGTTGTTGACGTTGTTGCTGTTGTTGACGTTGGTGTTGTTGACGTTGTTGCTGTTGACGTTGTTGTTGGTGTTGTTGTCATTGGTAATGTTGTCGGTGTTGTTGGCGTTGTTGGTATTGTTGACGTTGTTGTTGACGTTGTTGTTGTTGGTGTCGTGGCCGCACAGACCCGACGTTCGTGGCGTCGGAGTTTGTGAACGAGAGCGAGTCGCGGGAGCAGGACGACAAGGTCTACTTCTTCTTCTCGGAGACGGCCGTGGAGTTCGACTTCTACTCCCGGGTGGTGGTGCCGAGGGTCGGGCGCGTCTGCACGGTGAGGACGCGTCGGGGTGGGCCGGCGGGGGGGGGCGGTAGGAATCGAGAGAGAGACACGGGCATGCCAACCCCCGCGGCACGACCAGGGGGCAGGAGGGTGGCAGCGCTGCGGTCACCGCTTGCGCCTCGCTGCCGGAACTCGGGCGACTCTCCGCGTGGAGTTCTGTGTGTTCTCGCGCCAACGTAGGTGACGCACGCATGAAGCCGTCCTGGGCCTCCCTGGTGCGGTTGTGTGTAAAGCATTAACATTCCTTCCCTTTATTAATGTTACCCCTATCTCCTCCCTTTGATGCTGCTAATCCTGCATAATGCCCAGGCATAATATGACTTTAAACCCCCCGCCAAACCTCCTACGCGTTTCACAAGTAGTACTAATCGCATATCTGCATTTCCCATAAATATGCAAAATTTCTCTTGATATGTAAATTATTTTGTCAAGGCTCTCTTCCCCCCTCCATCCCAGCTTAAATAGACGCTCCAAGCCTGGGGTGTGTCATTCAGACTCTGTCTTCTCGACAGACCTGTTCTCCACCTGAGGACGGCTGCTTGTGTTGTGGCCGAAACGTCGTGAGAATTATTTTATAATGTTTTATTTTAATTATTTTATTATTTCCATTCTACGTGACTTTACCGAAAGAACCAAGAAGATGAATCTCTGCAGTCACGAAAGCTTTCAATCTAAAAATGTGTGTAAAGCGTCGGCGCCACTACCGGTCGTCCACGCCGCCTCGTGCGCCGTGGCCGTGCGTCGCGGGGGGGGGCGGGGGGCGCTCGCTTTCAGCACTTGCCCGCGGCAGTCCCATTCGAAGGGTGAGCTGGGGAACGTCGTTGTCCCACGTCCCCAGGGTGACAAGGGCGGCCTGAAGAAGCTGGAGAAGAAGTGGACGTCGTTCCTCAAGTCGCGGCTCGACTGCTCGCTGGGAGAGACGGCGTTCACCGGACTCCGGCACGTCGTGTCGACCCGCGGCCTCCGTGGCTGGCCCGACACCGTGTTCTACGCCCTCTACACGGACCACAGGTGCGCGACTCGTCCTCCACCCTCCGCCCTGCGGGTACCGACGCGTGGTCGCTGTGGGTACCGACGCGTGGTTGCTGTGGGTACCGACGCGTGGTCGCTGTGGGTACCGACGCGTGGTTGCCGTGGGCTCTGACGCGTGCCGCTGTGGGTGTCCTTGCAGGGGCGGCGGCGCCGTCTCGGCCGTCTGCTCGTACCGCATGGACGAGGTGCAGCGCGTCTTCTCCGGACGCTTCAAGCACCAGGGAGGGGCCGACCAGCGGTGGGCCCCCTACGCGGGGGCCCTGCCCGCACGACGGCCCGGACACGTGCGTACCGGCAGCGCACGCCACAGTACACGTCACCGTACACGTCACGGTACACGCCAAGGTACACGCCAAGGTACACGTCACGGTACACGTCACCGTACACGTCACCGTACACGTCACGTGTACACGCCACGGTACACGTCACGTGGACACGTCACCGTACACGTCACGGTACACTCCACGGTACACGTCACCGTACACGTCACCGTACATGCCATGTGTACACGCCACGGTACACGCCACCGTACACGTCACGGTACACGTCACGGTACACGTCACGGTACACGTCACGGTACACGGCACGGTACACGTCACCGTACACGTGACGCACGCTGCAGCGCTCGCGGTGCGCGCGGTGCGGACTCCAGTCCTCACTAGGACACGCGGCCCTCCGCTCCCCTCCCCCTCCCCCCCTCGCAGTGCCCCCTGGGCTGGGACTCGCAGACGCTGCCCTCCGAGACGCTCAACTTCATCTCCAACCACCCGCTGATGGACGAGGCGGTGAAGGCCGAGGGGGGCCGGCCCTGGCTGCTGGTGCCGGGAGTGGCCTACAGCCGCCTGCTGGTGGTCGACGTGGCGGCGCTGAACGGCACGAGCTGGAGGACGCTGCTGCTGGGCACAGGTGGGGGGGCCCCAACGCACGGAGACCCCCACACACAGAGACCCCCAAAACACGGAGACCCCAATACACCCCTGAATTCCCAGTGTTGGGCTCCAGCCCCTGAATCGGCGCGTGTGTCTGTGCCGCGTCTCGGCCGTCACCCCCAGACACGGGCGCGCTGCACCGCGCCGTGCTGCCGGAGTCGCGCGGATCTCCTCACCTGGTGGAGGCGCTGCAGGCGCTGGGGCAGCAGGAGCCGGTGCTGTCCATGGTGCTGACCCACGACCAGGTGACCCCTCCCAGTGCGGCGCACTCACTACTCGCAACGGGTGCGGTGCACTCGCCCACTAGAGCGGTGCACTCGCTGCTAGTCTGAAGCTCTCGCTACGACTGTGGCGCCGCGCTCACTGTCTCTGCGTGCCGACTGGTGGCGGTTATTGGTGTGGCCTAGCCCTGACCGCGTGTGCGGTGCGTGTGCGGTGCGTGTGCGGTGCGTGTGCGGTGCGTGTGCGGTGCGTGTGCGGTCCCGTGCGGTGTGTACGTGCGGTGTGTACGTGCGGCGCAGACCTCGGTGGTTGTGGCCGGCCCCGCGGGGGTGGTGCAGCTGCCCGTGTGCCGCTGTGGCCGCTACGGCGCCTGCTGGGACTGCGTGCTGGCGCGGGATCCCTGCTGCGCCTGGGACCCCCAGCGGAGGCTGTGCAGGCGTCACGGCGGGGAGACCGGCACCGGGTGAGCGGGGCGGCAGTCGCACAAAGACAAAGATCCCCCCCCCCCCGTAGCCTTCGCAGACTGTTGGGGCAAGTGCTGTTAGCGAGCAGCTATTTAGGCCGGCGCTTCACACGAGGGGGTGGGTCGCCAGCACTACACCCGACTGCCTTTGTCTCCCCAATGGTGATGATGTTTACACATCGCACCAGGTACTCATTTGTACGGCCTAGAGGAGGCTGAGGACCGGTTCAGATAATCGTCACCGGTGTTGGTCAGCGGGAATCAAACTCGGGTCACCGGGCTCGCAGCGCAGCTTACTGACTGCTACCGCTACCGCTCCCCTATCCCCCCCTCCGCACAGGTCGTGGCTGCAGGACGTGAGCGGTGGGGACGCGACGACGCTCTGCTCCGCTCACCCGCCAGGTCGGTGCTCACCGCGCCGCACTCCGTCTCCAGCCTCACCTCCTCCACACTCACCACGTCTCCACTGTTCCTCCCTCCCCGTGTCTCTCCCTCCCCGTGTCTCCGCTGTTTCTCCCTCCCCGTGTCTCTCCCTCCCCGTGTCTCCCTCCCCGTGTCTCTCCCTCCCCGTGTCTCTCCCTCCCAGTGTCTCTCCCTCCCCGTGTCTCTCCCTCCCCGTGTCTCTCCCTCCCCGTGTCTCTCCCTCCCCGTGTCTCTCCCTCCCCGTGTCTCCGCTGTCTCTCCCTCCCCGTGTCTCTCCCTCCCCATGTCTCTCCCTCCCCGTGTCTCACCCTCCCCGTGTCTCTCCCTCTCTGTGTCTCTCCCTCCCCGTGTCTCCTCTGTCCCGTCCTCACCATCCTCACCGTCCTCACCGCCGTCTCCGCGTCGCGTGCAGACGTGGTGGCCGTCCGCGTGCCGCTGGCGCCGGTGCTGCTGCTGCCCTGCTCTCCCCCCTCCCGCCTGGCGCGCCTCTCCTGGGAGCGAGACTCGGGCCCGGCCCCGGGGCAGCCGCTGCCCCCGCCCGAGGCGGGGCTGCTGCTCCGCCAGGGCGCCCCCCCGGCCCCCCAGGATCTCACGGGCACGTACCTGTGCTGGGCCGAGGAGGGCGGCCACCGGCGCCTCGTGGCCAACTATACCGTGCAGCTTCCGGGCTCTTCCTCCTCCTCCTCGTCCACCACCACCACCACCTCCTCCTCCTCCTCCACAACCAAGCGGAAGTCGAACAGGCAGCCGGTGTGGCCGGACCCAATGACGAGCGCCGCGGCCACGTCGGAGTCGGCGCACGTCGTGCCCGGCAAAGACGCCTCCACGTCCAATTCCCCGCCGGGGTTCGGCCCGGGGTTTTTGGTCGGGCTGCTGGTGACGGCGGTGCTGACGGCAGTGGCGGTCGCCGTGAAGAGGCGCTTCTTCCCAAAAGCCGCCTTCCCGTGCTCGCCCAGCGCGGCCGATGCCGCCGACGCGTCGCCCGCGCGGGCGGCCGCGGCCTCGTCGTCCAACGGCAGGGCGACGACGGAGCCCGAGCGGGGCGGGCAAAACGGCGACAACGGCGGCGGCCCCGGCAACAACAACGCCAACGGCAACAACAACGTCGCGGGGCGGGCGGGCGGCGACGGTGCGGGCGACGCGCGCGGAGGCGGGGGGGAGGAGGGCGACGAGGAGGAGACGCAGAAACCGCTGCTCATGCGGCTCGAGTCGCTGCAGCGCAGCTCCGAGGCGTGACGGCGGCACGGGGAGACGCCGAGGCCGCCGCAACACGCGGGGCGGCGGCGGCGGGGGGAAGTGCGCAGGCCACTCACTGTGGTGGTGGTGGTGGCGGACGTGAGACCGCCGCAAGCGATGGGCTCCCTCGTCACGAAGGGTGGTGGGGGACCCCTTCGGAGGTCTCTCGCCGAGGGGAGACGCGGACGCCGAATCACACGGAGGGGGGGCGGACAGGAACATTCCGGACGCTGTCGCGGTGCCCGCTCGTGCCCCCTGACCCAGACCCCCAAACGCCGCGAGGGAATTGAGCCTCGGAGGTTGCCGAGGCCTCGGCGTGACGGGGCGAACGTCGACGACGGCGGCGTCGGGCCTGGCGGCAGCCAAAGCCCTTTCGCTCGCCACGTTCATCGACCCTCGCGCCAACGGGGGTGCGACTTCGAGGCCAGTGGGGTTGGTGGGATGGACGGGGATTGGCGCTACGACGCTCGCCGAGTGTGGGGGGAGGGGGGCGGGGGGTTGGTGACTGCGATGTCCTCGCGAGCCGGAGAAGTCGGCGCAAAACATAGAAAATCCATGGTGGTTTGAAGAGGGGGGGGCAGGTTTGGGTTGAGAGGGGGGGGGGGCTGGTACGATCGCCTCTCCTCCACACGCTGGTAGTGCTGCATGGACACGTAAGGTGCACGCTGTCACTTGTCATTTTTACAACTTAAATGAATTATTTGTATATAAAAAAAAAACCCTACACATTTCTGTAACAAGTAACTGCCATGAACGTTTTCCCGAAAGTGTGTAGAGTGCAGAGTATTGCTTGCTGAGCCAGTGCGATGGATTGTTGGTATTATTGTTGTTGTTAGAGTAAGTTATTGAATGAGCGCGCTGGCGTCTGCTGCGCCATTGTCAAGAAAACAAGGGGGAGGCTCGGAGGTTCGGAACACTTACGCCGAGATGCGGCACCACCTGTGGTTAAACCATCGGCCGTGGTTAAACCGCCCGTGCTTAAGCCGCGTTCTCAGGTTTGGCGAGGCTGACGATGTTTACCAGCCGGTCACCACTTTTAAACTCCTTTTCCCCATTCCGGGACGTCTGCAAGTGGCAGGATGTTGGCGGTGCCCCGTTCACCGCCGAATCTCGGAACGCGCGAGCGGCCCGGCGTGCATTTCTATTCGCAGAGGCACAGTGGGCAGCGCCGTCGTTTCTCGCCGCAGAGAACCGGAGTGTCATGACCGCCGCACCCTACGATAGCCGGCGCCAAAACCGGTGCCACGCGCCCTCCCGCGTGGCCTCGCGGGAGCCTCGGTGTACCGATAAAGTAAATTTTTTTTGTTCACTCGCATACGTCCTTGGAATGGTGTTAATGTGGCCAGATCACGGCGCTTGAGCGTTAAAAAGGGGTCGCCGGTTTGAGTGCTGCGTGACGGACGACCGCTGCTCTCTAAGCGAGGGGGGAGCGTGTGCGGGAAAGTGCTTCCGGCACGTGGGCGGCGGTGCGCGCCCCCACCCCCTTTCACCTTCGCCGGGTTCCGAACGGATTCTTCACCGCCGACGGCGAAATTGCAAACGAGAGTTTGGGAACGGTACAAAGGATGAATGGGGGGGGGGGGGGGGGGCCGCGTGCAGGACGGCGGCGCATATCAGCGGAGCCCGTTTCGAGGGGCAGGCAGTCTCGACTTTCACCAGCAGGGCACCGTGGGGGGGCACGGTGGGCGAATCGAGAAGAGGGTCAACCGCTCCAGAGTTCTTGCGGTCGAAACGAATCCTGTTGGAAAGCGTCGGCTTGGGATTCTGTGATCCCTGTAGCTCGCGTGACCTCTCGAGTATTCTGAATGTTCTCGAGTTGATGGACGGATCCACCCTCGGTGTTGTGAATTCCGTAGAGTCGCACCGTGTGGTCTCATTCGCGCTTCGACGACGACGACGACGTCACGGGCGTCTATGCAGTTGAATCTGGATACGAGGCCACACTTGGTCTTGTGTGCTTGTATCAGACGTCTCGCTTTGCTCCCTCCCACCCCCCACTCCTGCTCCCTCCAGTGTAACCGTGTAATAATCGGTACGTTTTCTATTCACGCCACCTCTCTGATCTCGCGTGGCTAAAGTCGCGAAGGAAGCCGGCTGTGGTTCCCCGACAGGACTCGCCCAGTTTCACGGAGGCGATGTCGCTGCTGCTGCTGCTGCTCCACTCCCCAATCGATTCGGTCGCAGTGTTCAGTTTTCAACTTTTGGCGAACGCGGACCGTGACGCACGGTGGCTTTCCTCGTTCCGCCCCCCCCCCCGCCGCCAGGATCTTTTAAACATCCACCACCCCCTAGCGGAGAGACGCCGGATTGTGTTTACGGTAGACGCACACCGCAGTATTAACCAGTGTTGAGGGATGTGTTGCTAACATCAGAACTTGTATATGTACGGCGTGCTTATTATCCCGCTTCCACTGCATGTACACACGGTGGTGTACGCTCTGTGCGTGTCACGTCACGTACACACGGCGGAGTGACACTCGGGTACAAGGCCACGGCTCATCGGAACTGGCGGTTGAGCAAGGCTGTAAGGGGCAGGGCTGGACATCCTTGAGGCAGGCCCCACAAGCATTTCTTTTTTTGAGCAACTACTCCGCTCTGGATGTGGACAAAGCAGTTACGAGGCGGACGATGAGTTGGGTCGCGCGACCGAGCGCATCTCAGCTGTGGACACAAGTTTTTATCGTTGTTTTGTTCGCCCCCGACCTCGCACGCGAGCGAATCAATTGTGAATGTAGCGGCCTCCAGTGGCTGCACGGGTCTCACCCGGACCCATCACGTGCACCACGACAATTCTCCGCTTGTGCCGCGCGCAGGATATTAATTTGTGCGGGCGGGGGACCGGGGACGGGGACCCCATCGCACCCCGCGAGCGTTCGGCGTCTTTAGCGGTTCCGCGTGTCCTCCCGTTCCTCGGGGAGAGCGCGCGGATTTCTTAGCGTTGCTGCGGTTTTAAAAAAGTAATGTACATAAATGTTTTATTGTCATCACCAAATGTTGAGCGGCGCGCCCATGTCCCTAAAAGGGTTTCCACAATGTGATGCCGAGCCTCGCCTTGACCACTCTGACCGTGACCGGCAACGCTGACATTGCGACTCTGACCGACGGCGTTGTGACGGGAGTCCGACTGACGGCTCGGTCTGACACCTAGTTAAGGGCTTTCGCGACCAATATCATCCATAAGAGGTTTTTGGGTTAAGATCGCGTAAATAATACTGGTAGGAACCTCCTGGTTACACCAGCCCACAGGGGATTATTGTGTCCGTCCGTCGTGCAGGGAGGGGAGTGGCTGGGTGGGGAGGGTGGGGCTGGGTGGGGGGCTGGGTGGGGAGGGGCTGGTCATACCGTGGTGCCCTTTGAAACTCAACGTTTAAGCTACTTACACCGGCTTGTGCCCGCCCTCAGTCGGGCATATTTGCGGAATACACCACGCCGCTGTTGACCCTGCAGGCCATTGACCGAGCAACCCAACGTTCCTACCAGCTCCCTCCGCAGGAATGTGTTAATGTGTCGCTAAACCCACCACCACCCGACACGTCCAATTAGTAATGTTTGTCACGTAAACAACGCATGCCAATTAGTGACTACATTTACACTTACGTGATCTAATCCAAAAGCCTCTCATCGATGACTTGCAACTGTGACCACTCAGACCAGACCACCGTGACTGACCAATGTTTTACCCGCGTGTCTGAAAACTGCGACCACTCGACTGTTCTATGACTGACTGACGTTTGACCACCGTGACATCCGCAACTTAACCGTTGCCGACTTGTGACCGCCGAACTGTTTGTGACCTTTGATCGAAGCGACTGACGGTTGTGTGACCGACCGCCGTGTCTTGAGCCCTTCCCCCTGTGTCACGTACGGCGCTGTTCCCACTGGGCAGGTTCACCGGTGTGACGGTGACACACACACCCGTATGCACTGGTGCGTAAGAGTCGTGGCTGAAACGAGTACCCCGTGCGATGTATGAACATCGCCACTGGGGAGACGAAGGCGACCGCGCGTGCTGTTGGACACCCAGCACCGTCACGTGGCGTGCCAACCTTAATAGGCGCTGGTTCTCGCGAACAGCACTTGCCCCTACAGTCTGTTGAGGCTACACGGAGGATCTGCTTTGCCTTTGGGCACAAAGAAACAAAGATCCCCCGTGTAGCCTTAACAGACTGTAGGGGCAAGTGCTGTTAGCGAGCACCTATGAAGGCCGGAACGGTACACGAGGGCGTGGGTGACCAACACCACGCCCGGCCGCCGTTGTCTCCCCAGTGACGATGTTTACACATCGCACCAGGTACTCGTTTGTGGCTGAGTCGACCTAGGCGAGGCCGAGAACCGGTTCAGATAATCGTCACCGGTGTTGGCCGTGAGCGGGAATTGAACCCGTGTCGCCAGGTTCGTAGCGCAGCGTAGCGCTAACCGCTGCACCACCGCTCCCCACATACGCGCCCCTAAGTCCACCCAACTCCGATCGAGAATTCAAATTCCACGATGTCCCCACAGCGGTGTTCGCGGCCTCGCGTGGCCTGAAAGGGGGTCACGTGAATCCACGGGCGGCTCGCCCCCCCCCCCTCCCTCCTCCAACGTTGCGCCCAGGTGTCAACACACACACGGGTACCGGATTATAAGACGCACCCCCCCCCCCCCCCTCCTACACATTCTGCTTTAAAATACGCGGGCTCGTTCCTCTCGTCCGAATTCGTAGCTTGGTGCACTAAATTGCACGCTGCTGGTTGTGCCAACGTCTTGTGGAATGGACGTCCCCTGTACGTTAAAGCAGTCCCTCCCCTCGTCCACCTCTTTCATCATCCTCGCCACTTCCTTCTCTCCGTCGCCCACCCCCCCTCCAACTCCTTCCCGTCACTCCCCTGCAGCGCTCTCTCTCGTGATGGTCTCAGTGTCCATCCTCTACCGCTCTCACTCAGCCCCCAATCCTTGCTTGAGCCAAGCCAGCTGTGTGATGTCAGGTAGCTTGAGCCAGCTGTGTGTGTGTGTTAGTGTGATGCCAGGTAGCTTGAGCTAAGGGGCTGTGTGTGTGTGATGTCAGGCGGCTTGAGCCAAGGCGCTGTGTGTGAATATGAAATTAAGAAACAATGCCACACGGAGTGGAAAACAAACTCGCGAATCGAACCGTGATGAAATCGGGAGGATGGGAGCGGGCGGGGGGGTGCAAGACAACGAGCAGTTCTAATGAAATGAGTTTATCAATCCGACCGAGATGATTTAAAAAGTGCCATCACAGCTCCGCCAGTGGGCTTCCTAATATCGGAACGGGGGGGGGGGGGGGGAGAGCGTTCCAGACGGCCGCAAGACGCGCATCTCGTGACCGCCGAGTTTGTCCGATGTGGCGAGCCAAGCCGTGACCAGTGATTGAATCGATGTGGGGTGGGTGGGAGCGGATGGGGCCGCATTAATTATGCAAATTAGTTAGTTAGCGTCACCTCACCCGCCACGTGACCGCGGGTATTAATTGCAACGTTATTGGTAAGTCAACGCGCGCTGTAACAGGATAACGTGAATCGGCGACGGTAAAAACGATAATTGTGAATGTGGAAGTCTATCGGCGTCCGAACTTGGGGTGATTTATCGATCCATAAATCGGCGCTTTGGATCCAGAAATCGCGTGACAGGAATCACTTTCATTCTAGATTTGAAGTTTTCGTTCCTGCAAGGATCCATACTCTGGTTCTTTCAGTAAAGTCACGGAAGTGAAAAAATACAAATAAAATTTTGAATAAAAATAACTAAATTTAGTTCAAAAAAATTAAAAAAACTAAGTTTGGTTATTTCTATTTATTTTTATTAATTTTTATTTTATTTTTTCACCTACGTGACTTTACCGAAAGAACCAGAGTAGGAGTCACTTTAACGAGTTAAAATAAACCATTCTAAATATATATCACAGCTGTGTGTTGAGAGTATGGATCGAGCTTTGTATCCTTAAAACATCTGCCGATTTACCGTTTCAGAATTTAATCGTTTAAAAACGTCCATTCCCGTTCCAGTATTCCTTATATGGGCAGAGCCATGCCCCATATTACTCCATATGGGCCTTCAGCATTAACAAGAATTATCATTGATTGTATCCTGTTACAGCGCCTCTCAAGATAATCGCGTCTGCTGCTTTCGGCAATGTTGCACGACTTTCATTTGTGATGTACTCCCGACTTAGTACTCGCTGTCACCAGTTAAATCGAAGTATCGTCGTCTTCAGTGTTCGCGAAAGTTTTGTGAATTAAACCCCAACCACTCCAGTTTTACAAAGTCTCATGTGTGTGTGTGTGGTGTCATCTTACCTCCAGCCAATGTTGAATAACGCAGCTTCTGCCAAGTCTACAAAACCATTGAGCATGCAGCTAATGCCATGTGGACACAGCACTAATACTGGTAGGAACCTCCTGGTTACGCCAGCCCATAGGGGATTATTGTGTCCGTCCGTCGTGCATACAAAAATGGGGTGGGGCTGGGAGGGGTGGGGAGGGTGGGTCACCCCGTGGTGCCCTTATAAAACTCAACGTTTAACCTACTCACGCCGGCTTGTGCCCGCCCTCACAGTCGGGCATATTTGCGGAATACACCACGCCGCCGTTGACCCTGCAGGCCATTGACCGAGCAACCCAACGTTCCTACCAGCTCCCTCCGCAGGAATGTGTTAGGTGCACGACTACGGTATATACACACACACCGCCCGTTAGCACGGTTGGCTACGTGCGGTGCGAAAGAAGTTCAACTTCCACACTGCCCCATAGACTCAACACTGCCCATAGACTCAACACTGCCCATAGACTCAACACTGCCCATAGACTCAACACTGCCCACAGACTCAACACTGCCCACAGACTCAACACTGCCCACAGACTCAACACTGCCCACAGACTCAACACTGCCCACAGACTCAACACTGCCCACAGACTCAACACTGCCCACAGACTCAACACTGCCCACAGACTCAGCACTGCCCACAGACTCAGCACTGCCCACAGACTCAGCACTGCCCACAGACTCAGCACTGCCCACAGACTCAGCACTGCCCACAGACTCAGCACTGCCCACAGACTCAACACTGCCCACAGACTCAACACTGCCCACAGACTCAACACCGCCCACAGACTCAACACCGCCCACAGACTCAACACCGCCCACAGACTCAACACCGCCCACAGACTCAACACCGCCCACAGACTCAACACCGCCCACAGACTCAACACCGCCCACAGACTCAACACCGCCCACAGACTCAACACCGCCCACAGACTCAACACCGCCCACAGACTCAACACCGCCCACAGACTCAACACCGCCCACAGACTCAACACCGCCCACAGACTCAACACCGCCCACAGACTCAACACCGCCCACAGACTCAACACCGCCCACAGACTCAACACCGCCCACAGACTCAACACCGCCCACAGACTCAACACCGCCCACAGACTCAACACCGCCCACAGACTCAACACCGCCCACAGACTCAACACCGCCCACAGACTCAACACCGCCCACAGACTCAACACCGCCCACAGACTCAACACCGCCCACAGACTCAACACCGCCCACAGACTCAACACCGCCCACAGACTCAACACCGCCCACAGACTCAACACCGCCCACAGACTCAACACCGCCCACAGACTCAACACCGCCCACAGACTCAACACCGCCCACAGACTCAACACTGTCCATAGACTCAACACTGTCCAGACTCAACACTGCCCATAGACTCAACACTACCCATAGACTCAACACTGCCCATATACTCAACACTGCCCACAGACTCAACACTGCCCACTCAAGTGCCGACACTCAACACTGCACCTCCGATGAACACGGTTTGCTACGTACGGTATGAAAGAAGTTCAACATTCTGTGTTAAAGCATTACACCTCTGGGAACACCTGCATGCATTCCTCTAAAGACATCAACAAATAATTCCAATCTCGACAGCGCCTCCTGTTCACAAATCACACAAAATATTCACCCGGTGACATGAGAATGAGCGTTGGCCCAGCATGGGGTTTCCTGTGACGATGTAAAACGTCTTAGATCCCCAGCTGGTAGCTCATCGGATTCCTCCGGTATATTCACAGCTCGCCTCAATGTAGATCCAAGCAACGCAGCCGATCTTTCTTCACCTCATTTAAATACCCCCCCCCCCCATTGGCTGCGGTACCACGTGACTCACCGCCCCCCCCCCTCCTGTCCAACTGCCATTCACCACGTGGCGGGGACGTCACTTCGGCGCTTGTGCCAGGCTAGGTGCACGATAAAGCCACGTGAAGTGTCACGGGACAGACCCAGGTGGTGCCATGGGTTGACTGCCTTACCGATGCCACCACCTGTGCCCCCGACTGCGCAGAATTGCTGTTTTAGCTGCCCAGCGCTCCGCTCGTTGTTGTGAGCGTCGCTCATCCGCCGTTGTTGGAGGGCGACTGCCTCCAACTGCCCAGTAGCGTCCTTCACGAGCCTCCTCCACAGAGGCCGATCTTGACACCGCTGGTATCAGTCATCGGCAAGTCCACTCAGCTCCACGTCCTCCTGTACCACATCACTCCATCTCTTCTCTAGCCCGTGCCGTGCCCGTTTAGCCCCCTCGATCAGCCCGAACAAAAGCTGTTCTGGCCGGATAGAGGGGACCCCCCCACCACTCCTATCTCCCTCCAATGAACAATGCTCCCAGCTGATCGGTTGATCCCTGGTGTTTCAAGGTGGTGGGAAAAAACGATAGATCCGCAACAAGACGGCTCACTTCAAAGATCGTGACTGCAGACACGTATGCGATGCAAGGCCGTAGCCATGGAGTCAACATTGGGGGGGGGGGGGGACAATCTTCCAGGGGGTCTGGAGGTTCCACCCCAGAAAAACTATCGAAATTTGAAATTAATTTCGTGTCATTTCCTGCCTGGGGAGGGGGATGTCCCCCCCATATCTATTATAATTACTGCCTTGATGCAATGTACTGGAAAAGGCCACGCAGGGTACGATTTTCCAAGCTGGGGACGCCGAGATGTTAACTCCCTCGCCTGGTATGCAGGAGGTTCGCGATGCCGACCGTGTGACGCCTGCTGCTGTATGTTTGGAGTTGGCGTGTTTTCTCTTCGCAGTCGCGTGGATATTTGTACTCCACATTTAGAACCAACGTGTTGAGTACAGGTCTTCATAGGTGCTCGCCAACAGCACTTGCCCCAACAGTGTTATGGCTACACGGGGGATCTTTGTCTTTGTGCACACGTGTGTGTGTGGGGAGAGATGGTGCAATGGTCACCGGCAACCAGAGTTCGATTCCCGCTCACGACCAACACGCGACCACGGGGAAAACACGCAAACTCCAAACATACAGCAGCAGGCGTCAGGGTCGAAAATCTCACCCACGACCTCCTGCATACCAGGCGAGGTAGTCAACATCTCCTAGCCACCGTGGTGATGATGAGAGACACCGCAAACTCCAAATATACAGCGGCAGGCGTCAGGGTCGGTATAGAACCCACGACCTCCTGCATACCAGGCAAGGTAGTTAACATCTCCTAGCCACCGTGATGATGATGAGAGACGCAAATTCCAAATACACAGCAGCAGGCGTCAGAGTCGGGATTGAACCCACGACCTCCTGCAGACCAGGCGAGGGAGTTAACATTTCACCAGCATGGCGAGATTAACACGTCAATGACCCCCCACCCCGCACGCGTGCACCTGGCGAAAGCAAAGCATGGTCACGGCATGGTCACAGATGCTCACGGCACGGTTACGGATGGTCACGCGTCGTTCAACAGTGTACAATGCGGCGACGACACAATCGGCAAGTTCCAGTTCGGGACGCGATAGAAAAAAAACTCCGTTTATTGTGAGGTGCACTATAAACACATATGTACACAGTTTAGCGCTGACGAAGGTCCAAAAAAACATGATCAACCATTTATAAATTAATTCCCAACCGGCTGCCGCTGTTTTCGAATTGGAAGAGAGTTGCTTGAGAGCTGCGAGGTGGTGGTGGTGGTGGTGTGGGTTTGAGGGGGGTGTTAAAGGAGAGGTGGTGGGGGGGGGGTGGTCTTGCATCAGGCCAGGCATCGAGGCACGGATAACCGGTGACCTTGCAGCATCCAGGTTCACAACCCTGGCGGACCGCCGATTTCAACGACCTCCGAATTCGCTGCGTCCGCGGCAGCAGCAGTGTCCTTATGGCGGCAGACCTCGTGTGTCTCTCCCCCCCTCCCACCTCTTTCCGCGTTCAAATGTATCTTTTCCCTTCTTTAAACAGTTTCCTCCCTGTGCATTTTCATTTATCGTTCCCTCGCTTAAACGCGCAACAAAGCCGGGGGGGGGGGCGGGCGGCCCAGACAATCACACACGCACACACGGGGGAACCACCGCCCCCCCCCCTCAACACACCGGACACCCCCCCCCGACCCCCGCCGTGTAAAAAAATACTCCTCGGCGAACTCGGAGGGTGGACAACACACAACGGGTGCGCGCGGGCGCACGCACGCACGCCCTACATTTATTGTCGAGTTGTCATTCGCCCGCCACGCTCCCTTGATGCGTTCTCTTCCGTCCATCCTCCCCCCTCCGCCTGCGCTAACGGACGGGCCCAGCGCAGCAAGGAGCGGCGGGCGTGGGCCAGCGTCACCAACAAATGTCAAAAAGACGCCCCCCAACCACTTTGCCGTCGCTGACCCATCTCCAGAACGTCTTATTCGGCGCGTTTTTGTCAAAGGCATTTGAACTCTCCACGTGCTGACGTGGACGCGCCCGCAGAAACAACCGTTGTCACGTGTGCAAAAGCTCACGAGGGGGAGGGGGGGCCACAACCACCCAGCCGCCCACCCCACCAAGGACAAGAGCAGAGAGAGCGTGAGGTTGGCCAACTCTTCGATTCGTCACCGCCTTTCCCGCCCCACCCCCGCCGCCAACCGACTCCCACGATGCTCGCACGACGCTCCACTCGCTCGCTCGGCCTCCCGCTCCCTCTCGTCGATAAAAAAAACATTTCATTCCTTTCGCTTTCAAGACGGCCGGGGGCGTGGCCGGGTCCGCGGCTGAGCAGTCTTTCCCGGCCGCTCCACTACGTCTTGCGCGTGTTCCAGCCGTAGTCCGGCGTGTTGCGGTGGTCGCGGTCCAATGGAGAGCGAGCGTCGTACGGCGATCGCTGCACCAGCGGCGAGCGGTGGCCGCCGGCGCCAGCGCCACCACCGCCGCCACCACCACCGGCGCCACCGCCACCGGCGCCAGCGCTTCGCCCGCCATCCGCCGAGCCCTTGGCGTCACCGTGGAAGCGATAGTGCTCCGATGCCCCTCCACCCGAGGGTCCCCGGTAGTCGCTCGACTGCTTGACGTTGCGGTAATCGCTGCCGCCACCTCCACCACCGCCACCACCGCCTCCACCGCCTCCACCTCCACCACCACCACCGCCGCCTCCACCACCGCCGCGGTATTCACGGTCGTGAGGACGGAAGTCGTCAGGCCGACGCCTCTTCATGTCCGAGTGATACCTGTGAGGGCACGGGGGGGGGACACACACGCAGATTGAGAGGTGTCGGAGGTGAGTGCGTGCAGACTGGTGTGTGTGCAAGTTGGTGCGTGTAGGTGTGCGTGTGTGTAGGTTGGTGTGTAGGTTGGTGTGTAGGTTTGTGTGTGTGTAGTTGTGTGCGTGTAGTTGGTGTGTGTAGGTTGGTGTGTAGGTTGGTGTGTAGGTTTGTGTGTGTGTAGTTGGTGTGTGCGTGTAGTTGGTGTGTGTAGGTAGGTGTGTGTGTAGGTGTGCGTGTTGGTGTGCGTGTAGGTTGGTGTGTGTAGGTGTGTGTGTAAGTGTGTGTGTGTGTAGGTGTGTGTGTAGTTGTGTGTAGGTAGGTGTGTGTAGGTAGGTGTGTGTAGGTAGGTGTGTGTAGGTAGGTGTGTGTAGGTAGGTGTGTGTGTAAGTGTGTGTGTAGGTGTGTGTGTGTGTAGTTGTGTGTGTAGTTGTGTGTGTAGGTAGGTGTGTGTAGGTAGGTGTGTGTAGGTAGGTGTGTGTAGGTAGGTGTGTGCGTGTTGGTGTGCGTGTAGGTTGGTGTGTGTAGGTGTGTGTGTAAGTGTAGGTGTGTGTAGGTAGGTGTGTGTGTAGTTGTGTGTGTAGTTGTGTGTGTAGGTAGGTGTGTGTAGGTAGGTGTGTGTGTAGGTGTGTGTGTGTGTAGGTAGGTGTGTGTAGGTAGGTGTGTGTGTAGGTGTGTGTGTAGGTGTGTTGTGGGGAGCGGTAGTGTAGCGGTTAGCGCGCTGCGCTATGAACCTGGCGACCCGGGTTCGATTCCCGCTCACGGCTAACACCAGTGACGATTATCTGAACCGGTCCTGGGCCTCCCCTAGGTCGACTCAGCCTTAAATGAGTACCTGGTGCGGTGTGTAAACATCGCCACTAGGGAGACAAAGGCGGTCGGGCGTGGTGCTGGCCACCCACCCCCTCGTGTACCGTTCCGGCCTTCATAGGTGCTCGCTAACAGCACTTGCCCCTACAGTCTGTTCAGGCTATACGGGGGATCTTTGTCTTTGTAGGTGTGTGTGTGTGCGTGCGCGAGCTTCTCCCCCCCCACGAGGCTCCCCGCTCACCGGTCGTCTCCGCGGTAATACTCGCCGCGGTGGTCCTTGTCGCCGGGGTAGGTGTTGCCGAAGGGCCGCTTGCGCCCCGCGTCGCTGTAGTGTTGGTGGTGGCGGTAGCCGCCCCCCGAGTTGTGGTGCTGGTCCGAGCGCCCGCGGTGAGACGAACGGTCCTTGTAGTGGTGCGAGCCGTAGCCCTGGTGGTGCCTCTCAGAGCCCCAACCGCCACCGCCACCACCGCCGCCACCACCGCCGCCGCCACCACCGCCGCCGTGCCCGTACACACGCTCCTTCTGCCTCTCCCCCCAGTCTGAAACAAAACACGCAGCAGTTTGCTTCACATTCAATTGCAATTATTTGTAGGGAGTGCAGTGTTGAGATCTCTCACATTTGAGAAACTCTGTCCTCGCTGGTCCAGTCCTACACCTACAGCGTGCAGTCAGGTGAAGCCGAGACAAAAGTTTGTGTTTCACCAGGCGAGACCTCAAGCGGCCAGGCTGCAGTATCTCATTTACAGAGCGACCTGGAGCATCAGCCGACTTTGGCGGCCAAAACAACCCCTGCGTCTGACAGCATGCGGGAGGGGCATTCACTCAGTACCGATTAACGGTTGTCAACGATTATTGTAAATGTTACTGCCGTCGATGACGAGCCTGCTGCTAACGTTGCCAAATGCTGCTGCGAGTGACGCTGCTGCTGCACGTGCGCCAAGTGCACGTGTGACAGGTGTGCGCGCACAAGGAGTAGTGCGCGGAGTGTGTGTGCGGAGTGTGTGCAGAGTGCGCGTGCACACGCGCGAGTGTGCGAGTGTGCGCGTGCGCCAAGTGCACGCGTGACCGGTGTGCGCGCACGAGGAGTAGTGCGCGGAGTGTGTGCAGAGTGTGCGTGTGCACGAGCGAGTGTGCGTGTGTGTGCGTGCGCCAAGTTCATGTGTGACCGGTGTGCGCGCACGAGGAGTAGTGCGCGGAGTGTGTGCAGAGTGTGTGCAGAGTGTGCATGCACACGCGCGAGTGTGCGAGCGTGCGCCAAGTGCACGTGTGACCGGTGTGCGCACACGAGGAGTAGTGTGCGGAGTGTGCGTGCGCACGCGCGAGTGTGCTAGTGTGCACGCGCGAGTGTGCGTGTGTGCACGTGCAGAGTGTGCACGAGCGAGTGTGCTAGTGCGCACGAGCGAGTGTGCTAGTGCGCACGCGTGAGTGTGCGAGTGTGCACGTGCAGAGTGCGCTGCGTACCCGACGGCGGCCGCTTGTGCTGGTTGGCGTAGGGCTCGCGGTGCGGCCCCTGCTGCGAGGGGGGGTAGTGCGACTGCGAGTACGACGAGTCGCGGCTCGAGCCCGACGGCTCCGGCGGGAACGGCTTCTTGGCGACGAAGTTCTGCTTCTCCTGCCTCGCCTTGGGCTGCTCCGACTGCACAAAGACAAAGGTTCCCCCGTGTGGACTTTGACAAGACCGTCGAAGCAAGTGGCCGCGCGCGAGCGGCACCTGTGCAGGCCGGCACGTGCGACACGCGGGGGCGAGTTTGGGTGGTCAGCACCACGCCCGGCCGATTAAGGCCGTGTGACGTGTGGCACGCCCGCTGGGAGGTCACGGGACAGACCCAGGTGCCATGGGTCGCAGACATACACAGGCAGGCACACGCACGCCTGCACGGGGCACAATTGTTCATTGATATTTTACACGGTTCTACGTCAGTTTATTTTAATATTTTTTTGCCCCGAGACAAAGTGGCCATTCGTATCTCACGCAGGGCAGCGCGCGACCCCCGATAGCGCAGAGCTACCTCTCGGGATCCCTTCAGGTGACCTCTGTTGCACACAGGAGCGGGGGGGGGGGGTGACGGGGGGTGACGGGCAGCACCTTGCCACCCACGCTGCCCGAGAGAGTGTAACGCTCATCAGACTTATTTAATTCTCACAGCTGGGATTTTGTCTAAAATTAAGGGCAGGATAAAAACTTAACACGCCCATTTTATTCGTGGAGTCCGCTGGGTGACCGGGAGCCGAGACCGTCCACTCTGGCGCGCCGCGGCCCGCGCCTCTCCGAGAGACTCACCCCGGCCTCCTCGGCGCGCTTCTTCACCGCGTGCTTGTACAGTTTGTGCAGCTTCCGCGCGTCAAACTCCGTGAACTTCGACACGAAGATCCACAGGTTCCTGCAAGGGATGCGGGCGGGGGCACACGTGGCGAGTAAGCGGGCGGGCGAGCAAACTGTGGGTGGAGAAACGACCCGAGCGAATGGACGGGTGAGCACGCGACAAAGGGAGAACGGCTGAACGGGCGGGCGAGTACCAGAGGTCGCAAACAGGTTTTGATTCACCATTGGAACCTCATTTGCCAGTAAAAAAAATATGATAATTGGTTTTTTACCCTTCTATCTGGCAACAAAACTGACACCTTTTTTGACAAAACTGATAATGTGCACTCTCCTTAAAGTTGATTGGTCCACACCCGAGACAGCTTTCCTTAGAGCCTAGTCTCAATGGTATATTTTGATTCCTTACCCGTACCCGGCCGCACCAGGGTCGCAAACGGGTACCTGTACCCGGCCGGGTAGGGCACGGGTTACCCGTACCCGATACCCGGCCGGGTACGGGTAGCCAGTTATCGGGTAGGGTACGGGTTACCCGTACCCGATACCCGGCCGGGTACGGGTAGCCGGTTATCGGGTAGGGTACGGGTTACCCGTACCCGATACCCGGCCGGGTACGGGTAGCCGGTTATCGGGTAGGGTACGGGTTACCCGTACCCGATACCCGGCCGGGTACGGGTAGCCGGGTATCGGGTAGGGTACGGGTTACCCGTACCCGATACCCGGCCGGGTACGGGTAGCCGGGTATCGGGTAGGGTACAGGTATCGGGTAGGGTACGGGTTACCCGTACCCGATACCCGGCCGGGTACGGGTAGCCGGGTATCGGGTAGGGTACAGGTATCGGGTAGGGTACGGGTTACCCGTACCCGATACCCGGCCGGGTACGGGTAGCCGGGTATCGGGTAGGGTACAGTTATCGGGTAGGGTACGGGTTACCCGTACCCGATACCCGGCCGGGTACGGGTAGCCGGGTATCGGGTAGGGTACGGGTATCGGGTAGGGTACGGGTATCGCGTAGGGTACGGGTATCGCGTAGGGTACGGGTATCGCGTAGGGTACGGGTATCGGGAACCCGATTGCGACCTCTGGCAAGTAACGAGCGAGCGAGCGCTGCGGGCAAGCCCAAGCGACGGGCCTATAACGGCGCAAGCAACGGAGAACGACGGACGGGCGAGCGAACGTGCGGTTGAGCCAAGTGATTGGATGAATTTAATAAACAAGCAGCCGGAGCAGGCGAGCTAACGGAGGAACGGGCGAGCGTCAAATGCGAGCGACCCAGAGACGGAGTGAACGGGAGGAGGGCGAGGAAGCCAGGAACAGAGGCGGCAACGAGACCGGGAGAGCGGCAAGGGGCTCGCACGCGGCCAGGGGGAGGAGTCAGCGAGACGGGAAACGAGAGAACGAGCGGGCACAGCAGGTATGTTACCCTATTTGCATTTTTGTAATTTTATATTGTATATTATAGCTATTGTATAGTTTAGATTTTATTTTATTCAATGTTTACATACTTTAGCTCCTTAGTATTAGTTAGACTTGTACCTTTAGTATAGTTAGACTTGTAAACCACTTATTTAAGATTTAAGATTCCTAAATGTTGAATGTATGCACCTTCCGGCCAAAGTAAATTCCTTGTCTGTGCGAACTTTCATGGCGAATAAAACCCTTTCTGATTCTGGTTCCACATTGCCGGGCCGGCGCCGCCAAGATCCTGGCAGTTGCCCCGCGATTACAGCGCAGACTCGGCGGGGTTCTGCACACAATTTGGCGAGCGAGCGAGCGAGTGAACGAGCGAGCAAGCGACCGAGTGAACGAGCGAGCGCATCACAGGGGCACCGGTGAGCGCAAAGAGGCCGAACGAGCGGGCGGGGTGAGCCAAGGGTGACCGGTAGCGGGCGGGCGGGCGGCCTCACCGTCTCCACTGCTTGACGATCTCGGGGTCCGCGTGTTTCTGCAGGCACTCCGAGATGTGGTCGCCGATGCGCAGCAGGCAGTGGCGCGTGTGCAGCAGCTGCTCGCGCTCCGACAGCCCCTCCTCGGGCTTGTCCAGCTGCTTCAGCGCCTTCTTCACCGGCCGCATGCGCTCCTTGCACTGCGGCGGCGGACACGCGCGTTGTCCGGTGAATAAACTTAATGCACAGGTTCGAGATTTGAAGCTTTCGTGACTGCAAGGATTCATGCTCTTAGGTTTTTCGGTAAAGTCACGTAGGTAAAGAAATAATAGAAATAAAATAATAAATCACAACGTTTCGGAGGCAACACAAGTCTCCGTCATCAGGTGGGACCGTCACAGCTAGATTTACTGACTTGTGTTGCCTCCGAAACGTCGTGATTTATTATTTTATTTCTATTCTTCATTTTTTACCTACGTGACTTTACCGAAAAACCTAAGAGTATTAATGCACAGACCCCGCTTGGGAAAAAATGTTTTGCCCTCAATGGATGCGCCCCCCGACCTTGTGAAATCATATCGAAGCTAAACGGGGATTGAGCCTGGTTAGCACTACTGAACATCTGTGAAAAAAGAGCTTCATCGATAAGCTCATCGGTTTCCTCCAGGATAAAGAAAGATTCACATTTCTGACTTTGATGGGAAACTTCCTGGGGGACATCGAAGCTTTGTAAGGCTTGGGTTGGAAAGCGTCCAGCAGATGGCAGCACAGCAACGGATTCCAAATCCGTGCCTGCAAATATTTCAGTGTAACCACGCTACCCATGCACGTTCCACCAACCCCGGCCTCCAGAGCGAGGGAGACGGTTTGCAAGTCCAGTGGCGCTGCTAACCACTGCGCCACCCATCCCACCGCAGCTGCAGCGCCACCACCACCACCACCACCCCTAGGAGGGGTGGATGGATTGAGGAGGGGGGGGGGGGAGAACTCACGATGCTGAACGTCTTCTGGTCCAACTCCTCCTCCGTCTCCGTGGCGATGAGCACGGGCTCGCTGCCCGCTGTGATGTGCACGGGGCCCTGGGGGATGGAGGCCTTGGCCCCGGCGCGGGTGCCCCGCTCCCCGCTCTTCCCGTCCGCCCGGCCACCGCCCTCCGCCCCCTTGCCGGTCCGCGGCTGGGCGGGCGACAAAGCAACGGCGGCGAATCGTTACCATCGTTGTCAAGAAAGCCATCGTCTCACCCCAGTGGCGATGTTGTTTTAGAGATCGCACGCCAGGCACTCGTTTGAGGCCGAGTTAACCTAAGGGGGGCTCCAGTTCAAATATTCGGTTGGGGTCCATCATGCACATACCCACACACTATCCCAATAGCACGGTTGGCTAAATAGTGTGCGAAGGAAGTTCAACACACACATGTACTGCACCTATACACACAGGCACACACACCTATACACACAGACACACACACACACAACAACAACCGCCATTCGCCACTAAGTGGCGGTGACGTCACCACGACGCTTGTGCCAGGCCATGTGCACCTTGAGGCCCACACACACACCTATACAGACACACCTATACACACACACACCTATACACAGGCACACACACGCACCTATACACACAGACACACACACACACAACAACAACCGCCATTCGCCACTAAGTGGCGGTGACGTCACCACGACACTTGTGCCAGGCCATGTGCACCTTGAGGCCCACACACACACCTATACACACACACCTATACACACACACACCTATACACACACACACCTATACACACACACACCTATACACACAGGCACATGCATACACACAGGCCCACACACACACCTATACACACACACACCTATACACACACACACCTATACACACACACACCTATACACACAGGCACATGCATACACACAGGCCCACACACACACCTATACACACACACACCTATACACACAGGCACACACACTCACCTACACACACAGGCACATGCACACACACAGGCACACCTATACACACACACACACACACCCTGTCACACAGACACACTCGCGCACCTTTTCTTTCTTCTCGCGTTTCTCCTTCTTGCCTCTCCGCGCCTCCTTGCCGTCCGCTCCCTTCTCTTTGTTCTCCTTCTCCCGCTTCTTCTTTTTCTTCTTCTCGCCGCCGTCGTCCTGCAAGCGCAGAGGCGTTGCGCCCGGGGTCAACAAACGCGCTTCACACGCACCACCCCACCCCACCCCGGGGTCACCGCCCAGCAGCCACGCCAACTAAAACTCAAATACCAGGGGACGCCACTCTACTTGCGAACATTCGACTTACGACATTTCAGAGATACGAACAAAAGCTGTCCGTACGTCCAGTTGCCCGTTCGGACCGACCGTCGTAAGTTTAACCGCCGCGCAATAGAAGGCGGTGGTGGCATCTACATCTGCGGAACATGAAGAACCAGTAGCAGCTACATCTACAGAACGTGAAGAACCAGTGGCATCTACATCTGCAGAACGTGAAGAACCAGTGGCATCTACATCTACAGATACGTAAAAAACCAGTGGCATCTACATCTATAGAACGTGAAGAACCAGTGGCATCTAGATCTATAGAACGTGAAGAACCAATGGCATCTACATCTACAGACCATCAAGAATCAGTGGCATCTACATCTACAGAATGTGAAGAACCAGTGGCATCTACATCTAGGAGGCGATTATACAACTTGTCAAGCCATTCCGCGTGTTTAGTGTACACGCCGTAGAACGTGCATGGAATCGACAGGAGTAAAGTTGGACTTATGAACAGACCTCTAGAAATAGACGAGTCCCTGGTATTTAAATTTTACCAGGTAAGGCCCCACTCAGATATATCGCTTTATCAGAAGCAACTTGGCTCAGACAAATGATAGTTCAACGAAGTTGGCTTGTTGTGTAAATTCAGAGGCCAAATGATAAAAAATGCGTACGGATTCTAAACGTGGAGGGAAAAAACCGGAGGACCCGGAGATAAATCCGAACGACCACAGGTAGACACGCAAACTCCAAATATACAGCAAACTCCAAATACACAGCAGCAGGCGTCAGGGTCGAGATCGAACCCACGACCTCCTGTAGACCAGGCGAGGTAGTTAACATCTCCTAGCCACCGTGATGATGATGATGAGAGAAAGAGAGAGACACACAAACTCCAAATATACAGCAGCAGGCGTCAGGGTCGAGATCGAACCCACGACCTCCTGTATACCAGGCGAGGTAGTTAACATCTTCTAGCCACCGTGATGATGAGAGAGACACGCAAACTCCAAATATACAGCAGCAGGCGTCAGGGTCGAGAACGAACCCACGACATCCTGTGTGCCAGGCGAGGTAGTTAACATCTCATAGCCACCGTGATGATGAGAGAGAGACACGCAAACTCCAAATATACAGCAGCAGGCGTCAGGGTCGGGATCGATCCTACGACCTCCTGCATACCAGGCGAGGTAGTTAACATCTCCTAGCCACCGTGATGATGAGAGAGACACGCAAACTCTAAATATACAGCAGCAAGCGTCAGGGTCGGGATCGAACCCACGACCTCCTGCATACCGGGCGAGGTAGTTAACATCTCCTAGCCACCGTGATGATGAGAGAGACACGCAAACTCCAAATATACAGCAGCAGGCGTCAGGGTCGAGATCGATTCTACGACCTCCTGCATACCGGGCGAGGTAGTTAACATCTCCTAGCCACCGTGATGATGAGAGAGACACGCAAACTCCAAATATACAGCAGCAGGCGTCAGGGTCGAGATCGATTCTACGACCTCCTGCATACCGGGCGAGGTAGTTAACATCTCCTAGCCACCGTGATGATGAGAGAGACACGCAAACTCCAAATATACAGCAGCAGGCGTCAGGGTCGGGATCGATCCTACGACCTCCTGCATACCAGGCGAGGTAGTTAACATCTCCTAGCCACCATGATGATGAGAGAGACACGCAAACTCTAAATATACAGCAGCAAGCGTCAGGGTCGGGATCGAACCCACGACCTCCTGCATACCGGGCGAGGTAGTTAACATCTCCTAGCCACCATGATGATGAGAGAGACACGCAAACTCTAAATATACAGCAGCAAGCGTCAGGGTCGGGATCGAACCCACAACCTCCTGTACACCGGGCGAGGTAGTTAACATCTCCTAGCCACCGTGATGATGAGAGAGACACGCAAACTCCAAATATACAGCAGCAGGCGTCAGGGTCGAGATCGATTCTACGACCTCCTGCATACCGGGCGAGGTAGTTAACATCTCACGTGAGAATAACCAACCCAAGAGGCGAGGAGCGGGTACCTTGATCTCGCCCTCCTCCTCCGACGCGTGCTCGGCGGCGCGGGGAGAGCCGCCGCTCGTGCCGTCGGGCTGCCCCGCGTCCCCGCCGCGCGCACCGCCCTTGCGCGCTTTTTTGGCGTGGACCCTGCGGGGCTTCTTGTTCGTCTGATGAGATGCGGGGGGGGGGGGGGGGCAGTGGAGAGAGAGGAAGAGCGGGTAAGACGCTGGCTTGGCGAGCCGCGGGCACGGCTCTCGCGCCGGATTCCCCGGGACGCCGCACGCACGCGGAGATCACAACGAGCGCGGCGCCAAGACAAAAACAAGCGTCACGGCGACGTCTGGGCGTGGAACGTGGCGGTGCGACGAGTGACGCACCGCCTGGGCCGCGGGCTTCAGGGCCTCCCTGCGCAGCATCTCCTTCTTCAGCAGCTTGACGAGGTAATCGGCGCGGGTCTGAAGCTGCTTCGCCTGCGGCTTCAGCTCCGGGTCGTCGGGCAAGATCTGTTGTCGATGTCGTGGGGGGGGGGGGGGGGGAGAAACGAAAAAAGACCATTTGACACAAGCGTGGCACAGTCGGGTTTTTTACAAATCGGGTTTAATAGTCTTTTTAGAATTAAACCCGATCACCTGAGATTGGGAGAAATCCGGTGTAATTGGTTCTAATTGCAGAACCACACTTCGCCAACTTCTCAACGATGGGCTTCATCCATTCCAAGCTCAGGAACTCACTGGCGGCGCCCACGATTGTGGAGGAGAAGCTCGTGTTCATCACGACCAACCTGCCCGCCGCATTCTACGACTACCCCGTGCCCGACGGCCCCCCCGAGTACGATCGCAGCACCGACGAGGAAGCAGCCTAAGCCTTGGATCAGAGTTACGTATTCATTAAACCAGGTTTTAATTCCCCGAAACCGGGTTTAATTGTATTAAAGAAAAAACCCGATGCCTGCCGCTGGAAAAATCGGGTTTTTTCCACCCATGGTTTGACAACACGCCCTGTAACAGATCGACGACGGAAACCCAGGGCACCCGGAGAAAACCAATGCGGCGCGCGAGGGGGTAACACTGAGCGGTGCTGACTGTGGCCTGTGAGGTGGGGAAGGGAGGGAAGGAGGGGGGGAAAGGCAATGGGGGGGGCAGGCAGAGACAGGCAGGCAGGGCCGTGCCTTGTCGGTGAGGTTGAGATCGGGGTCCATCTTGACGAGCTCCCAGTTGCCGTAGCCGTACTCGTGGATGCCCACGAGGAGGTTCGAGTCCTCCTCCACGCCCCACTCCGAGTCAAAGTGCGCCGCCTTGGCGCGCGACGACAGCCGGTACCTGCGGACGGCAACGCGCCCAGCCGTCGCATTAACACTCGCCCAGCCGTCGCGTTAACACTCGCCCAGCCGTCGCGTTAACACTCGCCCAGCCGTCGCGTTACCACTCGCCCAGCCGTCGCGTTACCACTCGCCCAGCCGTCGCGTTAACACTCGCCCAGCCGTCGCGTTAACACTCGTGGCGAGCACGACGGCCGCCGCTCGCCACCAAGTGACGGCAACGTCGCCCACAGAGCATCAGGCGAGGAATTGAACTCGGGTCGCCGGGTTCGCGGCGCAGCACGGCAACACCGCTAACGCCACGGCTCCCCACATGGCCCAGGACAAATGCTCGCACGCGCTCACCGCTTGCGCTGTTCAGGGTCGGAGGGGATGGCTTGGTGCAGCGGCAGGAACTCCTCCTCGTGCGCCAGCAGCGACTTGGCGTTCACCTGCACGCCCGACAGCCGGAACGCCGGCCCTCGCTTCTTACCCCGGCCGCCACCTGCAGACGGCGCAAGATCACCCACAGCAGCAGCAACGACAAAAATAAATAAATCAGCGTCACCATCGCACGTTCACGCGGCGACGTAATCCCGAGCGCAGCGGGGTGCCCTCTCGCGGCGGGGGCACAGCCGCGCGCAAAACGCGTGAACGCGACGGTCGCGCGCGCCGTCTGCGGGTACCGGTTTTGGCTGCGTCCGCAATGGGATCGGCGCGCGGTGCCGTGTAGCGACGTGCTTTGGTGCGGCATTGCGGTGCGGACCGGCAGTTTGGCGTTGCGGTATGGCGATCGAGTAAGGTGCGGTGACGGCGAGGTGGTGTTTTGCGCGGTGTGGTAGTGCGGCACTTGCCGTCGACTTTGCCGTCCGCTTGCTCCTGCATGGCCTCCTCGCAGCCGCGGTGGATCAGCTCCCCGAGTCGCTTGAGGTCTGCCGCCGACTTGTCCCCCAGCTCCGCGTCGCGCGCAATCGCATCCAGCCTTGGGGGGGGGGGGGGCACGGCACAACCATTAACATCACAATCACCACCGCAAACACCACGACCAGCATCACAACCCACTGCAACCGCCGTGAAGACGACAACGCCGGCACAACGAAGACCGCCGCCGCAGCCACCACCCTCACCACAACTGCCGCCACCCCGACAACCCCGAGCAGCTAAAATCAGCAAGCTACAGCGACGCAAAATTATTCGTGAGCAAAGCGGATATTCCGTTTGACGTGTAACAGCCCGAGCCCTCCGCACAAACTGACCGTGATAGCGCGAGAGGTATTTTGCAGACAGCCAGATGCGGTATGGGGGAGACTATCGCCACCACCCAAGCACTACCCTCCCGCTCGCACTGCTGGACGGATGTCCTCCCGGACGCGTGCGATAAAGAGCTTCATAGCTCATTGGATTCCTCCAGTCTAAATATAGATTCCGATTCTCGACTACTCACCTCTCCAACGGCGCTCCGAATCGCTTGTAGCTTTTGATGAACCTGTAACGACAGCAAAGAGTCAAACCACGGTAATAAAATAAAGCACATTCTAAACTAACGTTGGGAGCGTTAGTGACGTTAGCTGTTAAGTTCGTTTGTATGCTCGCTCGTATCCTGGGTTAACACTCTCGTGAAGACGACTCTGCATAAATATTCTAACTAGGCGAGGCAGGCCTGGTTACGTTGAGGCCTAATAAAATCAATAAAAACCCTCTTCTTGGTTCTTTCGGTAAAGTCACGTAGAAGGGAAATAATAAAACATAATAAAATAAATATATTTTATTATATTAGTTTATTATGTTAATTTTTTATTATTTTATTATTTCCCTTCTACGTGACTTTACCGAAAGAACCAAGAAGATGAATCCCTGCAGTCACGAAAGCTTTAAATCGAAATTTAATAATAATCCTGTTCCTAAACAAGGTTGATGCAATGCCAATGACCGTTCACCGCCCGTGCACTAGCGCCCGCCCGTGCACTAGCGCCCGCCCGTGCACTAGCGCCCGCCCGTGCACTAGCGCCCGCCCGTGCACTAGCGCCCGCCCGTGCACTAGCGCCCGCCCGTGCACTAGCGCCCGCCCGTGCACTAGCGCCCGCCCGTGCACTAGCGCCCGCCCGTGCACTAGCGCCCGTCCGTGCACTAGCGCCCGTCCGTGCACTAGCGCCCGCCCGTGCACTCTCACGCACCTCCGGATCTCCGAGTCGGTGAAGCCCTGCACAGTGTCACGGGGCACGGTGCGTGGCCGGCCCCGCTTGCGCGGCTTCTTGTCGTCCCCCGAGTCGTCAGAGTCGCTCTCCGAGCCCGACGAACGCCGCTTGCCGCGCCGCCGCCGGCAGCTCGCGTCCGAGTCGCTGCCGTTCACGTGCACCGGCTATAGCCGAACCCACGTGGACACACACACACACACAGACGAACGCGATAAGCCACGCGCCAAGACCGTGCCACGCCCGATTGAATCGCTATCTTGCCATCGGCTTCACATCCACAGAGAAACACTTTCCATTGTCGACCCCTCTGTACGTTTCATCTCGTCTCCCAATATTTTTCCAGAGTGCGCAAACGGCGCCGCGTGATCTCGAACACAGAGCAGTGCGACCCTAATTATTCGAGAATGGCCCGTGGAAGTGGACATCGTGGCGCCAGCTCAAAGATCCCTTCCGTTGACCTCCGGTGTACACAGTAGGTGGGGGGGGGAAGGGGGCGTGCAGAAGTTTGACCTCCCACCTTGCCACAGAGCGAAATTTTGCCGCACATGACAGTCAAGTGGAAATCTTAATTCTCAGGAGGTGTAATTTTATCAAACGCACATCTGCACACGCGTACACAGACGCCCTCCCCCCCCCCGTCTAACCTTAACAGACTTGTTCGGGCAAGTGCTGTTAACAAGCCAGCAATGAAGGCTGGCACGGCACATGATGGCATGGGTGGCCAACACCACACCCGGTCGCCTTTGTCTCCCCGAGTAGCGATGTTTATACATCGCACCGGGTACTCATTTGAGGTCGAGTCGACCTAGCGGAGGCCCGGACCGGTTCAGAACAATCATCACCCTTGTTGCCCCCGTCAGCGGGAATCGAAAATCGGGTGGCCGGATTCATAGCGCAGCACCACGAACCGCTACACCACCGCTCCTCCACACACACACACACACACGTGTACACACACACACACGTGTACACACACACGCAAGCACACGCCTACACACACACACACGTGCACGTGCCTTCTTGGTACGCATGCGTGGCAGCATGCAGATCTCGAGCAGCTCCTTCTGCCGCTCCTCCTCCTCCACGCGCTTCCAGTGCTCCTCGGGGATGATCTCGTCCCACGAGCGGACGGCCAGCGCGTCCTTCAGCTCCTGACCCTCCTCGTCCATCGTCGCAAAGTTCGCCACCTGAGGGAGGCGCCGTCGCCAGGAGGTCGCGGTGGGGACGGTGGGGGAGGGTGTTGTGGGGTCACGGTGACAAGGTGGTCACGGTAAGCCCACTTCGCAGTACGGTACAATAACTGCAATCGGTTTGTACGTTCTACTACTCCCCGTCCTGCGCGAGTTTCTTCCGGGTTCTCCGCTTTCCTCCCATAGAAAAAAACTATAACACACAATTTAACTGGTGTTGGTCCACACAACATCCCGAACGCTGAAAAATTCCCTGCAAGTTACTCAAGTGAGATCGCCCGCCCACCCCCACCCCTACCTCCCCTCACATTGAAAAAACTTGGCAGGACCCTCCTAAAAAAAAAAAAATAGTCTTGAGACTCGGGGGCGACGCTTTACTCTGCTAACCTGCGGTCCTGCAAACGTGGAGGGTGACGGCGAGCGGGAGAGACCCCTGTTGTGAGCGAGCGAACGAACAAGCGAGCGAGTGAGTGAGTGAGCGAGCGACCAAATGAGTGAACGAGCGTGTGTCCCCCCCCCCACCTTGAACTGCGAGAGGAGCTCCTCGCCGGCCGTGGGCAGCGAGCTGTCGTCGTTCTCCCGCGTCTCCGCTCGCCGCAGGATTTCGTCGATGTCCATCTCCTGCTAAGGAGAAAACGACGCGGCGCGCCAGATTTAACGCGAGTGCTCATTCCCCGAGGACCGACGGAATCGCGCGCGGCGATTCCGTGACGCTTTCGAACGAGCGTTACGTCACGCAAACATTTATTCGGCGATGTCAACAACCGCGAGCAGAGCCACGTGCGTCACGTGCCAAGTCTTGCATCACCCACGAGAAGCTCGCTTTTATTGTCGAAAAATCGGTAGGACATCGATACCCTTTTGAAATTTGTACTTGGATACTTCATCTATTTCATTTGGGTCTTTCGGTCAAGCCACGTCGATAGGTTGAAATAAAAAAGTCTGTCTCAGCAGCTGTATCTCTTTTTTCCTCTTGATAACGATTCGCTTGTGTTGCGATCGAAACGTGGCCGTTTTTTGTTATCTTCTTTCAACCTAACACGTAGGCTTTCACGACCAATATTATTCATAATAAAGGTTTTTGGGGATAGATCGTGTTAAAATAAATGCATCGTTAACCCACCACCACCCGACACAGCCAATTAGTAAGGTTTGTCACTTTAACAAAGCGTGCCAATTAGTTACTTCAGCACATCGGTGTATTGGAGAGTAAACCTACAACATTTACAATTCTAGAATGACATTTTGCAGGGTGAACCATCTTCATCAGGCAACGTGTTCAAGCAACTGCAGGACGGACCGGGAGGACCGAGGCGATGACAGCCGCCAGGGTGCGGGGGGGCCGGTGGCCCCCTCACCACCTGGCCGTTGCCGTGAGGGGCACACGGGGACGCCACCGCGTCCGTACCTGCGAATCCTGCTCCTCGGCCTCGCCCTCCTTGAACAGTTCCTCGGCGCCAAATTTGAGGATGGACGCCAGCTCCTCCTTGTTGAACGGCGTGGAGCTGCGGCGCACGACATCGCAAGGCCGCTGTGAGCAGGGGGATCGAGGAACTCACGGACCCGGGTTCCAGCGGGGCACCCCGCCCCCCCGTCTGATATACCCCGCCCCCCCCCCACACCCTTCTTTATTGAACAGCGCCCAGGCCCCTATAGGGCGCAGGTGCATCGCCTGCACGACCGATGGCTCCAGAGTAATATGCGAGTCTATAGGTTCTCCGTTAGTCTGTGGGTACGATACTAGTCCAAAATCTATGTTAGCCTACAGGTCTCCAAGTCAGTCTATGGGTCATCGATGGGTTTCGGTGGCACACTGTGGATGGGTGGAAAGGGCCCTGGTGCGAGGAATTCAACGTCCCCCTCACCACACCGCAGCCCACAGAAAGCGAGATGTTAACCACCTCGCCTGGCATACAGGAGGTCGTGGGTTCGACCCCGACTCCTGTATATTTGGGCGTTTGCACGTTTCTCTCCCCGTAGTTGCTTGGATTTTTCTCCGGGTCCTGCAGGGTTTTCCGCCCCACATTTAAAATTAACAACGTGCGTTCAGAGTAGTTTGGCTGCTATAAATCTCCACATAAGCCACTTTGAGCTATCATTTGCAATCGCCAGGTTCGCTTCTGAAAAACAGCCCCTTTACCTCCGATTAGCACGGTTGGCGACGTACGGCGCGAAAGAAGTTCAACATACACGCGTATAACATACCTGGCAAAACACTAAATAGTTTCAAGTTCATAGTTTTGAAGCCCCCAACGCACCTGGAGGGCGCCGAGCCCTTCTGCAGCACCGTCTTGCCCGTCGTGTCCATGCGCTGGATCACCAGGTGGTCCAACACCATCTTCTTCTTGGCTCGCTCGATGATGTCCTCCTCCACGGTGCCGCGCGTCACCAGCCGGTAGATGTTCACCTGCGACGGAAAGCCACCCCCCCCCGCCACGTGCGACAAGCGTCGATGCGTTAGTCCTGCCCGTCCGTCCGTCACGTGGGGGGAGGGGTGGGGGCTGGCGCTATAACGCTCGTAAACAACGCACAACGTGAATGTGTCGATGTTGTATTAGCAACTCCTTCCCGAGAGAAAACTGGCCAAGTGGTTCGAAGGGTTTTCGCAAAACTTTAAACCCGCACTAAAAGGCCCCCCCCCCCGCCTCTCTCCTGGACGTCCCAGCCCTCCCGACCAAGGTGCCCCCCCCCCTCCCCACGCAGCCCCCCAAAGTATCCGTTCAGAACTCTCCCAGAGCAGTGCGGACCCTTCGTGTTAGAGAACGGCCCACAAAAGCGGATATCATGGAGCTACTTCTGAGGCCCCTTAAGCGACCTCTTGTCCACACACAGGAGAGAGAGAGAGAGGGGGCAGCCCTTTCCCTGCCGCCCTCCCACAAAAATGCTTGGGTGCTTTGACGACAGTCAAATCCATATTTTAAATTCTCTAAACTGGAAATGAAGTCCAGACGGACACCAATAAGAATTGTATTACTGGTAGGAACCTCCTGGCTACACCAGCCCACAGGGGATTGTTGTCTCCGTCCGTCCGTCGTGCAGGGAGAGGCTGGGTGGGGAAGGAGGGGCTGGGTGGGGAGGAGGTGGGGGTGGGGAGGGGCTGGGTGGGGAGGGGCTGGTCACCCCGTGGTGCCCTTATAAAACTCAACGTTTAACCTACTCACGCCGGCTTGTGCCCGCCCTCACAGTCGGCCATATTTGCGGAAAACACCACGCCGCCGTTGACCCTGGCCATTGACCGAGCAACCCAACGTTCCTACCAGCTCCCTCCGCAGGAATGTGTTGTGCGATCATAAAGACCAAGTATTGTTGACTTCGATGTCACTGGAACCGCATGTATACCCCTCCACACATTGAGCAATTCGTCATGCAGGGGTTGGGGGACGGGGTCACACACCTGCTTCTTCTGGCCGATGCGGTGGGCCCGCGCCTGAGCCTGGAGGTCGTTCTGTGGGTTCCAGTCCGAGTCGAAGATCACGACCGTGTCGGCAGACGCCAGATTAATGCCGAGGCCGCCGGCGCGCGTCGACAGCAGGAAGCAAAAGTCCTGCGTGGATTGGTCGGAGGAGAAACGCCGGTCTCGTCTTAACCAAATACACGGGGAGGTCTTGCCAAACGCGCTCCATTGTGCAGAGGGGCCCCCCCTAGGGCAAGCAGCACTACGTAACCCACGCGCATAGCACGCGCCACACTACGCCAGAGTGGACAATATACCGCGCACAGCACGCAACACACTACACCACACAAAGATACGTGCACCACACAACCACCAACAGTGCAGAGCTTGCGCTACACCACACACAGTACGCACACCACACAGTACACAAAGTGCAAGTACTACACCACACACAGAACACACACCACACAGTACACAGCATGCACTACACCACACACAGAACACACACCACACAGGGCATGCACTACACACAGTACACACCACAGTGCACAGAGCCTGTTCTACACCACACACGGTACACCACCACACACGACACAGTACACGCACCACACAGTACACAGAGAGCTACTTTGGCCGAGGACCCCCTGCTCACCTCCGATCCCTCGGCGTTGAAGTGATCGAGAGCCTGCTTCCTCTGCTCGTTCTTAATGGACCCATCCAGCCGCTGTGGAAGACACGGCACAAGCGTACACGCGTGTCACGCGTCGCACGGCAGCCCGCGGCGCCCGGCACAACCGAGGGCCCGCCAACACGGCGTGCGAGCGGCGACGCGGCCCGGCGGCTCAGACACGCCGGTCGGGTCGACTCGTATCCATTGCTCCTTGGGTCGTCAGGGAAAGGGAATAACATTTTGAGTGAAGTCTACAGCGACCTGAACGTTAAAGACAAAATTGCCTCCTCCTGCACAACGAATGTCCAACTTCCACCAAAATGTATTATTTATTTCCACCTCATGTCTCCCTGCTCAAATGCCCCTAGTGGGTGGTGGGGGGACAATGATCGGCAGACCTGAGCCAAGGGTGGAAACGCCACATTCCCATTTCAGCACAAGTCCCTCCCATAGGACCCATCACTGCTGATGTTTGACCAAGTTCTCGTCATCTTATTTTGCCATCGAAAGACGACGAGCCTGGTTCAGAATCAGAATATTTATTTCCACTCGAAGAATCCAATGAGCCATTGTGCTCTTTTTCACAGATGACCGACAACGTTCATGAGCAACCCCCTCCAACCGTGACCGCGGCGGGGGCTCTCCGACCAACATCGGCTGCTCGACCCACTAAATAAATGAATACTCACCAAACCCACGGACGGACAAGGCCTCAATTCCAGCAACGGCTCGGCAAACCCCAACTGCACACGAACGAGCGAGCACGGACGCAACGCGACGCACGAGAGCGCGACCTGACCTGGAAGGGGAAGTGCTTCATGGCGAGGTAGTCGGCGAGGATGTCGAGCATGCGCACCATCTGCGAGAAGATGAGCACGCGGTGCCCAGTCTCGCGCAGCCGGCACAGCAGCTTGTCCAGCAGGATCAGCTTGCCGCTGCTGCGCACCAGCGACTGCTCGCAGCGGCAGCCGGTGCCAACCGGGGGGAGGGGTGGGGGAACAGAGGGGGTACGAGGCAGCGAGTGAGGAGGAGAGACGCGAGGCAACGTGCGCACCAAAATAATGAAATGAAAGATCCGCGTCGTTGTAGAGGTGGCCGAGTGGGCTCGGAGGGTCCGACGGTTGAAACATCCACAGGCGTAGTAGGCAGATTGTCATTGGTTGGCCTATGGAGAAAGTCAAACTTTCTGCTCACCCTGCTCAGCCACCAGTCTATCCAGTCGCTCACAAATATGCCCACTCTTCCAACCAACAGACCCTACTCACTTGCCAGAGGTCGCAAACGGGTTTTGATTCCTTACCCGTACCCGGCCGCACCAGGGTCGCAAACGGGTACCCGTACCCGGCTGGGTACGGGTAGCCGGGTATCGGGTAGGGTACGGGTATCGGGTACCCGATTGCGACCTCTGTCACTTGCTCAGCCACCTACTCGACCACCCACCCACTCACCCACCTACCAACTCCTGCCCACTCAACCACTCAGCAGTCGCTCACACCTGCATTCACTTTCATCCATCCATACACCCACCCATCCTCTCACCCATCCATCCACACACCGCCAGACGACTACCCACCCACCCAACTTTTACCCATCTACCCAACTATACCACGGCGGGCCATTTCCAAGTGGGGCCCGCTCCAAAAACCCTGGGATCCGGACACACCTGGCAGGCCTCCCACCGCCCCATAAGCTGTGGGCGGCCAACTCAAGGCCCCCCCGGGTGGGTTCAATGCGGCGGTGGCGGCGCTCACCTGCAAGATGTCGTGCTTGTCCCCGTTCTCGTCCTCGGGCAGCTTGATGAGGTAGCAGTGGTTGCAGCATTTCTTGAGCTCCATCATGATGTTGAGGAAGCCCGATGTGCTGCCCCGCGTGCCTTTACTCAGCGCTTTGAAGTTCCTCGTCAGGATCCACCTGGGGAGGGGACAAGGAGGGAATGGTGGGGGGGGGGGGGGAGTGTGGCGGCCGACGGCGTTAGTTGGTTGCGAGGGCGTCGGTCGCGAGGGCTGTTAGTCGCTAGCAGAGGTCGCAAACGGGTTTTGATTCCTTACCCGTACCCGACCGCGCCAGGGTCGCAAACGGGTACCCGTACCCGGCCGTACCCGTACCCTACCCGTACTCGACCGGGTACGGGTACCTGATTGCGACCTCTGAGATGAAGCCATGTTGCAGGTGTGGGTGGGTTGATTCTCGGAACTTGAATTGTGAGAAGAGACAAGACGTTGGGAAATGAGTGACAAACAGTTACTCACCAGTGACTCACGGTCTACCCGTATCCGGCCGCACCAGGGTTGCAAACGGGTACCCGTACCCGGCCGGGTACGGGTAGCCGGGTATCGGGTAGGGTACGGTTATCGGGTACCCGGTTGCGACCTCTGGTCGCTAGGGCGTCGGTCCCTAGGGTGTCGGTCGTTGGGTTCCGTCGGTCGCTAAGGTGTCGGTCACAAGGGCAGTCGGTCGCTAGGACGTAGGCCACGCGTGCGAACGGGAGATGGCCTCGCTCGTCGGGAATCGAACGGAAGGCCCTTCAGCAGGCCCGCGAGGTGCGAGCGTGGCCACGTACTTGTAGTAGTGCTTCTGCTGCGGCGTCATCTCCACGCGCAGGATCTGCTCCACCTTGGCGGGGAGCGAGCGCTCCACGTCCTTCTTGACGCGGCGCAGCAGGAAGGGCTCCAGCTCCTTGTGGAGGCTCACGTAGCCGTTGTCGCTGCCGCTGCCGTGCACCGCGTCAAAGTCTTCCCACGCGGAGAACCTGCGCACGCGACGCGGCACCGCGGGTGGGCGGGCAGTTGCATTGTTGTTATTGTATTGTACGTTGGAACTTATTTCACACTGTACGTAGCCAACCGTGCTAGTCCGAGCGGTTGGTGCGTAACTTGAGTAAAAATGTAGAAACGTTAAGACAGCAGAACCCTTCCTCCTAACGATGGTAATTGCTTCCACAAAACCGGTCGTTAAGTGATTTGGTCGTCAAGCGAGTATAGCAAATGCACGTTAAAGGCATAATTCGTTCTGATAGCATCAAAAGTTACTCTTTTTCTTTCAAAAAACGTACTTATTATTTATACAATGGATATGCATACATAATAATAACATTATAAACACATTAAAAAATACACGATCAATAAATGCATTAATATTTACTGTACCTACAACAGCTTGTGATTAACAGGGGAATGGTCGGCGAACAGATTGGGCTCTACGGATGCCCGTCGTTAAGCGATTAGTCGTTACAGGCGTGCTGGTTAAGAGGGATTCTACTCTACACTATTACTGGTGGAACCTCCTGGTTACACCAGCCCACAGGGGATTATTTTGTCCGTCCGTCGTGCAGGGAGGGGCTCGGTGGGGAGGGAGGGGCTGGGTGGGGAGGTGCTGGGTGGGGCTGGGTGGGGAGGGGCTGGTCACCCCGTGGTGCCCTGATAAACTCAACGTTTAACCTACTCACGTTGGCTTGTGCCCCACCCTCAGTCGAGCATATTTGTGGAATACACCAGGCCGCCGTTGACCCTGGCCATTGACCGAGCCACCCAACGTTCCTACCAGCTCCCTCCGCAGGAATGTGTTATACACTATACACAACACTACTATACACTACACATTGGGCTATACGGATGCCTGTCGTTAAGCGATTAGTCATTAACAGGGGTGGTTCTTAAGAGGAGTTCTACTGTAAATTGTAAATGCGTATGCAAGGTTTCACAGTATCACTAGAATTACTTTCATGATTTATGAGGATTTCTTTACGCCGTAGCAGACCAGGTCTCGCCCCCCCCCCCCACCCATGACTGCAGCTAGCCGAGGTTTTACCGTCATCGTCAAATCGTGAAATTCCATCCCTAGGTCCCAATGCGCAATGCATGGAAAGCAGGAAACAAAAACAGAACCAGGGGGAAACCGACCAAACTAAAGAGAGAATAAGAGGTTTCAAAGCTGACTTAAATATATATTTACAGACTCCGATTTCCTGATTTCAAGTGGCAAAGGCATTGGGTGCCAAGCTAACAAAAGCCCGATCGCAAAAACAGCGCAACCTAGACCTGGGAGTGCTGAGCAGTTGGAGATCAGAAGGACCTCAAGGACCTTGATGAAATATATAAATGATTTAGTTCCTGCAAGTAATGTGAGGTGAGCCCCTTTTAAAGCCTTATAGGTTAGGTATCTTAAAATCCACTCGGAATTTGACCGATAGCCAAGGGGACTGGTGTCACGTGCTCACGGAATGGTGTACGTGGTGTAAGCACGTACGCCCGATCTGTACGGAATAGTGGGGGTTGCCCCCTCGCACGCGTAGGGTTGTTTTCTCCCACCTCGTATAAACGCTCACTGGCTGATATAACATCTTAATCTACGCGTGCGCACACACGCCCCGTGATTGTGGATTGCGCGAGGCATTTGCAAAACCGGACGCTACCGCACAACCACCTGGAGATTGACTTAAAGCTTTCGCGAATGCAGGAATTCATATTCTTTGAGTCTTTTGGTAAAGCCACATAGATAGAAAATAATAAATAAATGTTCCTGCCTGAGCAGCACTCCCGCTATATATTTTCACCCGATGACGATTGCTTGTGTTGCGATCGAAACATCGTGATATTTTTTTTTATATTTTTTTATCTACGTGGCTTTACCGAAAGACCCAAAGAATACACCTGGAGCTTGTTACAGTAGACTTTCAATAATCCGCGCTAATGACGGGGAGGAGGGCCGCGGATAATGAAAATTTGCGGATAATCGAAAAAATATAATTTTCGCGGCTCTCTTTGCCAAAAACTAGCGACCGATCGATGCGCGTGTGCAGTGATAATAACACTTTCCTGCTCCCGCACAGCAGAAGACTCGGCCCACTGAGTGGATAGCAGAGCCGAGCCAATCAACATCAAACTCCGCCCCCCACTGAAGTAAAGATATGCAACTGTTGCACTGCAGAGGCTATCATGCGGATTTCGGATTAACCGGAACATATTTTGATTTAAAGCTTTCGTGACTGCAGGGATTCATATTCTTGGTTCTTTCGGTAAAGTCACGTAGAAGGGAAATAATAAAATAATACACATATGATTGCTTGTGTTGCAGTCGAAACGGCGTGAGAATTTTTATTGTTTTATATTTATATTATTTTATTATTTCCCTTCTACGTGACTTTAACGAAAGAACCAAGAATACAGAACATATTTGTTTGGTTTAAGCATGTAACTTGTAATAAACATTTCCAAGAATAGAAATATTAATATAAATTTGGGCTTAAGGGAAAATCCACGACTTGTTAATTTGTCAAAACCTCAGTTTGCGCTTTGAATCGGCAAATCGGATAAACCGCACGTGTATAATGGAGAGTCTACTGTATTCATAATCAACGTTTTTGGGTTTAGATCGCGTTATTTATAAATGTGTCGTAACCCTCCACCACCCGACACGGCCAATCAGTAAAAAAGTGTCACGTTGACAAAAGACAAATAGTTCACTGCTTTAGCCCACCGGTGTGTTGAAGCGTGAAACCACAACATTTACAATTTGAGTAGTACGACGTTTCGCTGGTAATTGCATCCAGCATCATCGGGCAATTTTTACTGATTGGCCGTGTCGGGTGGTGGAGGGTTACGACACATTTATAAATAACGCGATCTAAACCCAAAAAGTTATCAATAATATTGGTCGCGAAAGCCTACGAGAGTCTACTGTATCATTATTTGTACAGCAGCAAACCTGCCCACTCCTGCCGTCGGCGCGGGCACTCACTTGTCGGGCATGATGAAGTGCAGCAGAGACCAGAGCTCCTTGAGCGAGTTCTGGAGCGGCGTCCCCGTGATGAGCAGCCTCACGTTCGTCTTGAACTCGATGAGCGACTTGTACAGCAGCGAGTCGTCGTTCTTCAGCCGGTGAGCCTCGTCCACGCCCAGGAACGCCCAGTTGACCGCGCCCAGCACAGTCTGCACTCACCGGCGGACAAGGACAGGGACCCCCTCGCCCCGGTCATTGCGCGAGCGGACAGGACGCTGGCTGCGAGGCTGCGCCGCGTAAGCGCAAGTGCCGCGATCCCACACGCTCTGGGAGGCGATGGTTAAAGGTTCAGGGGGCACACATTCCGAGGAAAAACTCGCTCCTCACCGCTGCCCGTAGGCATCGAGCGCGGCCATCGTCCGGCTTGCCAGGGTATGGCGAGCGGTACAGCAAGTGGGTTGATGTCCATCCGAAGAGGATCGATTGTTACTCCCCCCCAGGATTCTCCGGTTTCTTCCTCCCGCGTGGATGAACACCCATTCACGGAGTTGGCCACAAACATCCCAAGAGGAGAGGGGCCGAATCTCAAGGATCTTTTCACAGAGTCCTGCCAGGCTTTCGCAGTCAGGTGGCGACGTTGTTACGTGTGCGACCCCAATTGAGCAATACGAAAGGTGATTTTTCAGCATTGGGATGTTTGGCCAATACCAGTAACGTTGTTGTGTGTGTGTGTGTGCCTTTAGTTATGGGAAGCGGTGGTGTAGCGGTTAGCGCGCTGTACAACGAACTCGGCGACCAGAGTTCGATTCCCGCTCACGGCCAACACCAGTGACGATTATCTGAACCGGTCCTGGGCCTCTCCGAGGTTGACCAAGCCTCAAATGAGTACCTGGTGCGGTGTGTAGTAAACATCGCCACTGGTGAGGCGTGGTGATGGCCACCCACCCTCTCGTGCTGTTCCGGCCTTCATAGGTGCTCGCTCACAGCACTTGCCTCAAGAGTCTGATACAGGCCACATGGAGGATCTTTGTCTTTGTTTAAGTTATGGGAGGGGAAAAAATAACGTACGAAGTCCACACGTAAAGAGGCACCCGAGTTGGGAATCGAATCCCAGGCCATTTTTGCCGTCAGGTACGAGCGTCACCGCTGCGCCACCCTATAACAACACCGCCGTCGCGGACTGCCAGGGCGGGCTGTGCGAGGAAGCGAGCGAGCGCGCACCTTGTCTTTGAGCAGGATCTCGTAGGTGGTGACCAGGGCGTTGAACTTGAGTTTCTTGGTCTGCTGGTGAATCCACTCGTACTCCCGAATCTATGGCAGGGGGCAGACACGTCAGCAAGAGTGGCGAGCAAGCGGGCAGTCATCCCGACGTCGCTTTCAATAACAATTATTAGAATTTACAGATAAGAATACGTTTTACCCTTTCTGGCAATGAAACAGACGATAAGATTTTGATTTAAAGCTTTCGTGACTGCAGGGACTTATATTCTTGGTTCTTTCGGTAAAGTCACATAGAAGGGAAATAATACAAATATTAAACAATACAATTCTCACGATGTTTCGACTGCAACACAAGCAATCGTCATCAGGTGTGAAATCCACAGCAAGAAAATTTTCCACACAGCAAAAACATTTTCTTGCTGTGGATTTCACCTAATGATGATTGATTGTGTTGCAGTCGAAACGTCGTGAGAATTTTATTGTTTTATATTTTTATAATTTTATTATTTCCCTTCTACGTGACTTTACCAAAAGAACCAAGAATAGGTGTTAAGATGTTAAAACACCAAACTGAAACCTTTTGCAAGGAATCATGTCTGCATTAACCACATATATTCTTCTTTGGGTCTTTCGGGAAAGTCACGAATCTACATGCCGACGTCTCTGCCCCCTGCCCGAGAAGATGAATTCCTGCAGTCACGAAAGTCAAGGTTTAACCACATTGTGGTGAACATGCAAACAAATAACATGCTCTGGTAGTATATGCATCATCTTTGAAACTGATTGGTCCACACCGGAGACGGCATTCTTTAGAGCCAAGTCTCAAATAGTGCGAGACCAGAAGATGCAGCTACATCATGTAGCCTCCCTTGCCAGTATCAAAATATAAGAATAGATGTACCGTACATCATGTGCACTCACATTATGCCTGAACATTATGTACGTACATGCATGCAGATTATGTACACGAGTAATGCATGCACATTACGATGCATCAACGCCTGGCGGCGACGTCCTCACCACGTTTCGGCTCGACATGTCGCCCAGGTACACCACCACATTCATCTCGGGCGCCCACGTCGCGAACTCTCGCTGCCAGGACGTGACGGTGGAGAGGGGCACCACCAGCAGGAAGGGCCCGTACACCTGCAAGGAGGAAGAGCGGTGAGGACAGGGTGTGGGGATTATCGGTAGAGGCGACTGACGTGGGCGAGCAGTGGGTACACGTGGGGGGGGGGGGGGGGGGGGAAGCAAGGGTCGAGGAACCTACGGCCCCCTTCGTGGGGCCTGAGAACTTCAGGAATGGCCCCGCAAACGAGATTTTATCCATCGCCACAAACACGAATTTGGTACGGCGGTGAGGGGGGAAAGGGACTCCATCGACACCGGGTCGTTCGCCATCTCTCCAGTAACGTTTATGAGCAAGATAAAAGCCGTCGGATTCTATTTTGGTCGTGCCTTGCGTCGCGTACGTCACGGTTGTGGGGAGGCAAGGACGGGGGGGGTGAGTGGCCTCTATCGTGTTTGCGTATCTATTGTTGTTGTAACTCGCCGACACGACCATACTGGACCATCAATGAAAAAGAGCTTCATAGCTCCGATTCCTCCCGCAGTCGAAATAAAGATTCAGATTCTGTGACCTAGCGCTGTGGAGGCAGCAGTGAGGGGTTGGTGGGTCACACAGATGTTGCGGTGAAACTCCCTTGTCGCGGGCATCGAGCTGGAGCTATAGCCTGGCCTCACCAGGAGAAAATGGCACGGCAAAGTGCGGACTACTATCACGTCCCTTTTGTATGGGACCGATCGTTGCTTCCTCGCGCTCTCACGCGTGGGTCTTCGCCGAGCGCCGATTCCTTTCCACATGTATGACAACAGTCTAATTGGCCAAAAGCATCTTACTATATAGGGGAAGGCAGACAGTGGACAATTGTACTCTTTTTTCGGTAAAGTCACGTAAGTAAAAAATTAAATAAATGAAAACTAAATTAAATCACGACGTTTCGGGCGCAAGACAAGCATTCCCACCTGATGACGGACACTTGTGTTGCGCCCGAAACGTCGTGATTTAATTTAGTTGTTTTCATTCATTAAATTTTTCACCTACGTGACTTTACCGAAAAAACCAAAGAGTATGAATCCTTGCAGTCACGAAAGCTTCAAATCGAGAATTAGTGGACAATTGCCAATCGTTGGTAGTGCTGGCTCACCACCGCCTTTGCCACTGCCGCCCTTCCATCTCGCCCGTCTGCGGTTCCTCCGCAGCGATTGCCAGAAATGCAATTTTGCACGAACCATCCCAACGGCTAAAACATTAAACTAAAAACCGAAGCGAAACGTTACCTGGTGAGAGTGGAACATGTAGGATAGGAAGGAGATGGTCTGGATCGTCTTGCCCAGCCCCATCTCATCGGCAAGGATCACGCTGTTGCCTCTGCACACGAGCGCACAAAGACAAAGACCCCCCGTAAAGCAAGTGCTGTTAACGAGCAGCGCCTATGAAGACCGGCACGGCACTCGAGGGGGGTGGCTGGCCAGCACCATTCCCCGGCTGCCTTTGTCTCCCTAGTTGTGATGTTACACACTGCATCAGGCACTCATTTAAGGCCGAGTCAACCTAGGGGAGGCCCAGGAACGGTTTAGATTATTGTCACTGGTATTGGTGGCCGAGAGCGGGAATCGAACCCGCATCGCTGGGTTCGTCGCGCAGCGTGCCAACCGCTACACTTCCGCTCCTCACACGAGCACACACACGCCCACACACGCTCGTACGTATGCACGCGCCGACACACGCACACACCAAGCACAGCGATCCAGCTGCATGCGGCTAAAATCAACGAGACATTATGGGGCGCACCAACCACAGGCAGCGTGGCACGCGACGAGAATCTGGCTCAGTGTGGGGCACGCTCGGACCGCCTTTGTATCGCCGCGATGGACGATCGCTAAACACGTGACAATTTACCCGTGGACTCCCGCAACCCTCCCCCCCAACTCGCCCAAAGCGATGTGATGAATTTTTCTAATTCGTGGTCGCAGTTCGATTTTAAAAGTTAATCATCACTTGTCTCTCGTTCGCTCACTGCCTTATTTGTAAAAAAGAAAACTCCCACTTTTTTCTCGTCCGCCATGCCAACTTCCGCGGAGCATTAGCATACGATCTGCATGTCTGTCGCCATGGCTCCACAGCGACGCCACGGAATCTGCCATTGTGCGGCGGGACGAGACGGCTTGCCAACGACTAAACTCCCGGGGGGCCGTGAGGGATGCAGACGGCTTGCGGAGAACCTTGCGACGACCGATCAAGGTGGAGAGACATCCACACCCATCGATTCTCTCTCTGCTACCAATCCAGTCCTTGTACATCTCACCAACGAGAAAAACCACACACGCACAAAGACCCCTGCCGCCGCCACCTTACTCTTAGGCTTTTTCAGTAAAGTTACGTAGGTAAAAAATTAAGAAAAATAAAATTCATAGAAGTAATAATAGAAATAAAATAATAAATCACGACGTTTCGGAGGCAACACAAGTTTCCGTCTTCAGGTGGAACCGTCACAGCACAATCGCTGTATCAAGAGAAGTCCCAAGAGACCCGACCTTGTATATATACTGGTTAAGGGGGGGGAGGAGCCAGGGTGGGCCTCGGGAGAGGAGTTGTTGTGAGATGGTTAGGACGTCTGCTGCTTGTAGGTACTGAGCCTTTGTCATGTAGATGGCAGAAGCAGATAAGCAAGTCAGGACCCCACCCTATAGCCACAGACACCAATGAAGGCCGCCGGGCATAGCATACGAGGAGGTGTGTGGCCAGCACGACCGTGCCTGGCCGCCTTTGTCTTTCCCGCAGTGCTGATGTTCGCACATCACACACACACACCCGGCACTCACGGCACTCATCTAAGGCCGAGCCAACCTCGAGGGAGAGGCTCCGTACCGCTTCAAATATTCGCCACCGTTATTTGGCCGCGACCAGGAACAGGACTCGGGAAAGCCATGTTCTGTAAACGCACTGCGCTAACCGCTAAGCAAAAGCTCCCCACGCACGCACACGTCCATCGGCGCTTTCTTTATTGACAGCGCGTGACAGGAGGGGGTGGGGGGGGCGGGGGGCGCCACGGGCCAGCGGCTCCATTATGCCGCTCTCATCATCCTCGAGGGGAACCTCGCGATTCATCTTCACCGCTCACCGAGGGACAAAGAGGATTTTGTAAGAAGGTAAAAAAAATCAGTGCCGACACGGCACGCATCAACGCAAGCGTGTACTCTGCGCAGCGCCACCAAATACCGGCGCCGAGTGCCACCACAAAGTCTCTCTATACCCGAACGAGGAAGCCTCTTAAGTACAAAAAAAACTCTGTAAGCCTGCGGGTGCCACGGTAGCAATAGGTTAACTAGCTCGCCGTGTACGCAGGAGGTCGTTGGTTCGATCCCAAAACCTGGCACGCCGGTATATTCGGAGCTTCTGTGTCTCTCCCACGGTGGTCAAAAGGATTATTCTCCGGGTCCTGTGGTTTTGCCCTCCACATTTAGAATCAATGTGCGTTTTAGAGAGTTATTTGGCTGCTATAAATGTCCACGTGATAAACCACTTCGTTGAGCCATCGTTTGTGGGCAGGTCACTTGTGAAAAAGAGCTCTACAAGCTCAGTGGGCCCCCCACCTACCTGATAAAACACAAAGTTAGTGAAATAGTTTTGGTTTGAGCGTGTGCCTATTGAAACTGACATTCTATGGACAAAGAGCATCGGGGCCTCATCGAGTGTACGAGCCGGCTGGCCAGCGGGCACAGAAAGGCCTCTAACGTTGTCCAGCAGGCGTGCAAATTAAGTTGCACGAGTAGGCTTGCAAGTGGGTGAGCAGGCTAGTGCGTACGTGGGTTACCAGACAAGTATGAGAGGGCGAGAGGGCGGATGAGAGAGTTGGCTAATGTTCTGTGGATGAGCGAGTTATCGAGAGGGCAAGCGATTGAGTAGCCTTGCTGGCGGACTAGCGCGTTAGCTAGGAAGTAGGTGCGGTGAACGAGTGGGCCGGCGGGCGGGCGAGCGTGCGGGCGAATGAACAAGTTGGCGAGGAAGGCGGGTGAGTGAGCGAGCGAGCATGCGCGTCTCACTTGCACCACGAGTGCGCGAGCCAGTTGAGGCCGTCGAGCTGGTAGTCCCGCAGCTCCAGGCAGTCGACGCCGCCCACGAACGGCGGCTGATCCTTCAGCGCCACGAAACGTGGACGCTGCTTCAGCGCCTGTGCTCGCCGAGGAAACAGTGAGGCGGCGATTTAGTGTTCTGGACCCTTGCATTGCGAGACATTTGTGCCAACCATCACACTAAGTAGTGCTGCCGCCGCTATTGTTCGTGTAGGGCACGGCACGGTGGGTGCCGCTGCTGTTGTTCATGTAGGGCATGGCACAGCGGGCACCGCCGTTGCTGGCGCGGAGAGGCTCACCTTGCACTCCTTGGTGGGGAGCGTCTTGGAGCGGAGGTTCGCCATGTAGCCGTCGATGCAGTGCTGGAACTTGCGCGAAATGAGGGCGCCGTCCTCCCAGCTGCACTCGGCGTAGGGCAGGCCCTGCCACTTGCACAGGTAGTCCGGGTGGCCCGACGTTGACTTGTGGCCCACGTGCGCTGCCCGTCGCCAAATGCGCACACACGCACGCACGTCACAACCTCGCTCTGACAACGCTTGGCGGGGGGGGGGGGCTACTCCACCGCAGCAGCTTTAGCCGCAGGAAGCGGCAACGTGAATCACGGTCCGCTCACGACGCGGCTACGGCGGCAGTGTACCGGAGCTTTGCCGCGTCTGCTCGCGGTCGGGCAAGCGATTGGGCACCGGATCTGCCGCTCGGTACGAAGGAGGCCCGGAAAGCATCGGTGGCAGGGGTGTGTGGGCGCGCGGGTGGGAATCGGTGACTCCGTGGCCTGACGAGAGGAAGGACGCGCCGACGTTTGGCGAAAATCTTTTTACCCAGGGATTACCAAATTTTATAAATGCACGGTGGGTGGGGAACCAAGTCCTTGGGACATGGACGACAATGACAAGTGCACTGCACTTCAAGGGGCCCGCTTATAATCACTCTTGTCAGGCCAGGGCCCTTTATCCATCCACACGCCTACTCCTCAAAAACGTAACAAGGCCGGCAAGGCAGCACACGGCCGGCAAGGCAGCACACAGCCATCGGCATGAACAAGCACAGGCAGAACGCGGCTCTATGGGGGCGCTTTCAGAATCACAATATTTACTCATACTGGTGGAATCTGATGAGCTGTACACAGCTCTTTTTCACACGTGGTCAAATATTTTGCAGATTTTCGGTATTTTCGCTCGGGCGCCTTCGAGACGGAGCGAACGCGAACGCCGCGCGCGCTCACTTGGCCGTCAGGGCTCCCGTGCCATCACAACTGAAGCAGCGCCACAAATTAATGATGATTAATAATAATCAAAACCAAAGCCAAGAAAGCAGAGGCTGCCACACACGACTGCACGAAGCAGGACTCAGCGCATGCGTGGCGGCGAATTGCAGGGGGCACTCGCTCCGTAAACCATCGGCCCTTGAGCTCCAATCCCATGGACCCACCCCCCCGACCCGCCGGGGCACGCGAACGTCTTGTAAGTAGCAAGTCTATGGGTAGTGTTAGTCTATGGGCAGTACGTTGAACTTCTTTCGCACCGTACTTAACCAACCATGCTAATGGAAGTGCAGTGTTGAGTGTATGGGTAGTGTTAGTCTATGGGCAGCGTGCATGTATATGTTTAACTTCTTTCGCACCGTACATAGCCAAACGTGCCAATCGGAGGCACGGCGAGAATCGAGAGGCGCGACGGGAGCCGATGAGAATTGTCGAGGGAAGGATCCTGAGGTGGGCATGGAACGACGCACCACATCTCCCCCCCCACCCTGCATTGTCACAAATTGTCAATTCAATAATCGACTCCTTTCTGCCTTTGTCGCGCCGTCTCGTTTGTTATTTTCGGCCTCGTTTTTGGTTTTTGGCATTTGCTCGGCGGGCATCGATCGTGCCCGTCTCTCGTTCTGCGCCTCGCGTGCGCCCGCTTCGTCCGTTCCCGTTGCGGTCGTGACCTCGGCTCTGTCCTTAACGTTCGCGTAAAGAAGCGCCAACGATCGAGGCTCGACCGGCGGGTGGGCGCGTCTGTTGTGCGCGCTATAAACCGACTTAAAAAAAAAAAAAAAAATCGGTGGATCGTTACGCGCCCAGTCTACGAGACTTGAAGGTCAGTGGCTGCGGTGGAGGGGGTGAGCGGAGGGGGAAGGTGCGGCGCGCGGGCAGCAGGCAGGCAGGCCATGCAATTGCTCGAAGCCGCAGAGGAAGCTGCTGTGTTTGTCAGTGCGGGGTGGTGGCCGGCGCCGGTCGATGACTCCACAACAGCAGCAAGGAGGGAGGGGGGGTCTCCCGGTAGGAACTATAACCCGCAAAGAGTCTGAGATCCTGTCTGCGAGCGCCCGGGACGGGTTGGGGAATAATTGACAGAAAGAATGCGATTTATCTATTTTTGGTAGTTTTGAATTCCATTCAGCTGGAGTGGGGGGGGGGGGGGGGTGCGAGAATTAAACTGCAGTTCAGTCAACGCCGCTCGCTCGTTCACTTTGTTGAGCATCTCAGGCAAATTAGCCCCCCCTCCCCGCCCGGTGGAAAGCCTCCAACTACGAGCAACTGTTGTGGAGTCGGATGGATGGCGCCGCTACCCTGCGTCAGAGCACAACGATCGGTACCAAGCAGCAGCAAGTTGCTGCATGTTTGCGAAGAAAACACGGCGTGCTCATTCGGAATGCATTGACCACAAATCCCACAATGCCCCACGAGAGCCCCCCCCCCCTACCCCACCTCGCCCTGCCTCGCGAGAGCACTGCCTGCCGCAAGCTAACGCTGCGACTGCGTAGGTTGTGCCGGGAGACGCGAGACGAGCCACTCGCTCTGGTGGCGTCGCCCACCCACTTGCGAGAAAGAAGAGGCGGGTAAACGTTGCACGCGTCCCAAAATCGGCTCGTTGCACCTCCGTTCTTAAGCAAAGGATTCGCAAGCTAAACTCGACACGTGTTTTAAATTGGCACGATGCCCGAGGTTTTGCTCCTCGTGACGAGGGGGCGAGAGGGGGGGAGGGTAGAGATCCGATCTTCGTGGAAACTGGTCCTACACGTTGCTGGCAGCGATGAGTTGGGACGTCGTGGAATAAAAGTGCTGGGGGGGGGGGGGTAAACGTTGGCCAGACAGATCCCCTGTGCCAGGTGCAAGTTGCTTCCACACCCACCCCCTTTCTATACCGCCCCCAAACAACTCCGGCCCAGGCTCTCAGAGGAAGGGGCCCTAACTCGCATTGCGCCGTCGAGACAAAGTAAACCGCCCGCTGCCAGGATCCCACGAGCAACAGAAACCCCATCAGCCAGGATCCCAGCGACAGCCTCGCTCTTGGATGGCCTGGATGTGCACGCACGGCCCCTTCATCTATCCGCTGCTGGATGAGCCCCCCCCTCCCCCAAGTCTCTATGCTGGCCAATGCTGGTTTTGGTGAAAGTGGGGGGGGGAAGCGTAGACATGGAAGTTCATGAGGGTCCCCCGCATTGGGAAGTTATGGCCAATTCCCATACTAACGAGTGTTTGGCTTGTGTGAGGAAACAGAGTTTGTGGAGGAAACCCAAGTAGACATACAGACATGCCAAGTAGCCATACCCCCCCCCCCCCCCCCCGCGTCCACTGGCCATAATTTCCCATAGGCCGGGAGGAGTGTAAAGCCACACAGACGGCGGCGGTGGTCTTTACACGATTCACCAACCCCCGCAGAAGTTACCGCGCGTTAGGGGAGCGCGTGTGCGCCAAAACAAACCAAGCCAGGCAGGGCACCGAAACCTCGCAGCGCCGCAAACGAGAGCAAAGGAAAAGACGCGGCGCCGCGGCCAACCGGATAAACCGTCACACGGCAACCGCGTGAAACGTTGCCACGGCAACCACGTCAAACGTTTGGGCGATCGTCACCAGCAACTCGCGCACGCGGTGGTTACCGTGAGCAACTGTGGTGGTGGGGTTCCGTCAGCACCAGGGTGTTTGTCAAAAAGCGTGCCCGGCGATCGGCCGCTAAGCCTCGAATGCACACAACCCCCCCTCGGTTAGTCCACGTGAACCCCGCCCCCCTACCTCTGGATGAGGCCTGATTGGAAATTGCCAAACCCGGGTGGGATTGTTCCAGGTCACCTTTGGAGGCAACTGCACGCTGTGGTGGGGGGTTACGTATCGCGGCCTCATTAAGCGCGAGGCGAGCGAACTTTCGTTTTACACAGTTGCTGACAGCAAGGGCCCAGTGCCAAATCGTAGCAAAGGCTTAGGCGGGTGTCAGGGGGGGGGTGGGGGGTTAAGGTTGGTGGGAGTTGAGGAGACTGCCATTGTGGCGGTGGGGGGGCATGCGTGCGTGATTTGCACAAGCGAAGAGAGGGGGTAGCGGAGGAGGGAGAGCGGTGGGCGAAGGGTAAGAGAGCGGGGTTGGGGGGGGTGTATCAGCCAAGGCGGAGAGAGACCAAGAGAATTGTTCGGACACTTACACAGGGAGGAGTCAGTGTGACTCGGAGCAGACTTACTAGTCTTCATTGCTGGCACGACAAGAGGAAGACAACAACGATGAGCACACTCCTCCACACTCGTGCACTTCGGTTATCGTTATTTATTCCCCCCCCTCCCCCTTTTTAATTCCCATTGTGCGATCGCAGTGTTGTCACGATATGGAGCATCCCTTGTGCGTTGCCCCGTGCGTTACGAGAAGTGGATGTCGGGGAACTACAGATGGTCCCCGAGTTACGATGGTCCGACTTACGATATTTCGATCTTACCATGGCGATACAACAAAATTGTAAAATATTACAAATTTCGCGCGGCAGGCAAACGCAGCAGCGAACGATACGTTCAATGCATGTATGATACGTAGCTTTAGCGATTTCATTTTAGGGTTACCACGATACGATACGTTCAATGCATGTTATAGCAGGATAGGATTGTTTCCTGAAATTTTTTTTCTATTAAATTGCAGTTCATATAGGTAGGCTATGAATTTACCTCGTTTTTTTTACTTCACATTTTACTGTGCAATACAGTATTGTAATTAATAAATACACACAGTAGAAAGTGTATACAGTACGGTACTGCAAATTGCTGTTTTGCTAAATTATCACCATTCTTTAAGACTCCTGGGTAGGCTAGGCCATCTTCGACTTACGATATTTTTTGACTTAAGATTGGGTCGTCGTAACGCATCTCCATCATAAGTAGAAAACTATCACGAGGGGCCCTTTCCGGTGACCCTTTTAGCTGCATCACTAGGGGCCCACGTTCCCACACACAGCCCTGCCGTGGAAAAGCAATTCACGGCAAGCCAGTGAAACCATTCTTTTTGATACGTGCGTAACTCTTGCGGAATTTTGCCACGTGAAGTGAAAAACCAGTCCAACACTTGTCGAGATTTTTGCGTGGCCATTGGTGACTGAGGGCTGAGATTCAAGTCGCGACCTCTTGAGAACTCGGCGTAAATTGCAGGTGACGGCCTTAACCTGGATTCGAACTCGGCATTCTCAGCAGCACCGGCGCTGACCCGAGGCCTGCCCGCCACCCCGAACACGGCCTGCGTCACCATTCACGATGGTCGGGCGAGGCCCCGTTAGGGGCCAAGTGAGTGTCGGGAAACCCTCCACCACCCGACATCGCCCAACAAATTAAACGGTCACGTGCACGCACTTTGATATGCAGCAGGCCGTGCATTAAATCATGACCGACGCCTGCTGTATATTTGGAGTTCTCCGGTTTTTCCCTCCAAATTTTGAATCGACATCACGCACTTAAAGAGTACTTGGCCGTTATATATTTCCACACGATGATAGGCCACTTCGTAGAGCTATCATTTGTGGCAAGGTCGCTTCTGAAAAATAACTACATAGCTCAGTGGGCCTTACCTGGTAAAATAAAATGCGTTTAGTTTAGTTTCAGCTTGCCGACAAATCGTATGTAAAACTTATTTCGCACCGTACGTAGGCAACCGTGCTAAATCGGAGTTGCAGGAGGGGGGGGGGGGGTGGAAGGACGTCAAACTAACAATTCTCGCCACAACAAGTAGCCCTACTTGGTAACGCCTGCCACAAGTCGGCACAAGACCGGCTTCACTCACCTGACCTCCCCCAACCCCACGTAGCGCGGCGCAATCCCCGGGGCAGCGCTCTCAGGAGCGTCCCTCACCTATAACGCGCTCCACCACGCAGTACTGCTTGTAGAGGTCGGCAGACATCTCCCGCTGGCAGCTGTAGTATTCGGCATCCTCCGGGGAAGCCATCGACAGCCTGCGAGATAAAACAAACAAAAGGTAGAGAGATCCTTCCCACGCACTAAAGTGTGGGGTGTGGACAGGACCACACACGCCGCAGCCGCCTTCGTCTCCCCAATGCTGATGTTTACACACCGCAGCAGCTGTTCATTGAAGGCCCAAAGACCAGTTTAGATACAGGGACTCCGCTACTTACAAACGAGTTAGGTTCCAGAGGTCTGTTGGCAAGTCCAACTTTACTCGTGTCGATTCCAAACATGTTGTACACTAAACACGGGGAATGGCTTGACAAGTTGTATAACCTCCTGTAGATGCAGATGCCACTGGTTCATCACGTTCTGCAGATGTAGATACCACCACCGCCATCTATTACGCGATGGTTGAACTTACAACTCTCGGTCCGAACAGGCAACTGGAACTACGGGACATGTTTGTTGGTGTCTCAGAAAGTTCAAATGTTTTTAAGTCGAGGAGTCCCTGCATTGGGTATTTTGATCTACTCTTCCAGGCCGGCCAGACACCTTGGCATGCACACACTTTACCTCACCACACACAACCCAGCTAATCGTGTCATCACGGCGTCACCCAATTGTATCACTCGATCGACAGAAGCTAGGAGATGATAAAACGTACCCCATCGTCCCCCACCCCCCCGCAGGACTCAATATTAACTACGCACATCGACCACGATCGCGACGGTCCTCACTCACCACTGCGAAATCTCCTCATCCTTCTTCTGGAAGTTCTCCACCTTCTTGATGCCGCGCACCTTCTGCTGCCGCAGTGTGTCCTCGCTCTCCCACGTGTTGTGGATGTGGGACCAGCCCTTCCACTTGATCAGGTACTGAATGCCGCCGCCGCTCGCACCGCTCGCGCCGTCCGCCGGGACGCTGCCGCCATCGGCGTCAGCGTCGGCGCCGGCATCACCGCCGTCCGTCGCGGCGGTCGCCTCGGTGCTATCGGCGGGGGTCTTCGTGGTGGTGGTGGCGGCGGCGGTTGCGGTGGAAGTTGCGGCGGAGGCAGCGGCGGTGGTGGCGGCTTTGGCGGCAGTGGCGTCCTCGCCGGGCAAGAAGCCAGCGTTTGGGTCTCCGTCGGCCTCCACCGCGTAGATGGTGGTGGCGGCACCGACGGCTGCACGTGGCGAGCGGCACAAGGGAGGGGAAACCGTTCACAAACCCGGGTGGTCGAGTTGCTCGGGCGGACCACGACGGTCCACCGATCCCAATCGGCTCGCTCTCTCTCTCACTCACTAACACAAAGATCCCCCGTGTAAACCTTGAAGAGACTTGTGCTGTTAGAGCACCTATGAAGGCCGGCACGGAACGCGAGGGAGTGGAGATTGCCAGCACCTCGCACGGCCACCTTGGTCTCCTTGATGGTGTTTTAGGCCGAGTCGCCCGAGGGGAGGCTCATAAATGGTTCAGATAATCATCATTGGTGTTGGCCGTGAGTGGGAATCAAACTCGGGCCACCGGGTTCAAAGCTCAGCGCGCCAACTGCTACACGACCACTCCCCCCACACCCTCATTTCCACTAGGACACGCACGCACACGAGGACACGCACGCACACGAGGACACGCACACGAGGACACGCACGCACCTGTCTTGCGCCCGACGCGGCAGTCGATGACGCGCTCGATCATCTCGAACTCCTCGCTCTCGGCCTGCTGCGCCGTCTCCGTCACCTCGATGATGTCATCAGAGTCCGTTTCCTCGTCATCGTCCTCCTTGTAACTGAGAACGCACGCACACGCAGCGTCTCCATTGGTCACAGGGGACAAAGACTGTTAGTTCGCGGTTGAGTGAGAGGCTTGCGATGGGCGGATTTGGTTGCGAGCTCAACTCCTGGTTTGGGGGGAGGGGGCGAGGGATCGGCTACGCTGGTTAGGCACGCTGCCCGTAGGGATGCAAAGGAACTCGGAACTGCCGCGTCCCGTTGATTTCTTCCCGTACAATTTAATTTAAAAAATGTAAATGACGGCGTAAGCATCGTGGAGGACAAGGAGGTAGGGAGGGGGACGATCTCGGGAGGCGGCGGTGCAGTGGCAGCGTGACGAGGCGGGCCGAGCGGGCGACCCACCTCACGTTCACCGTCGCCTGCCGTCGCGACTGCCTCTTGGGCGTCACGTCGTCCTCGTCGTCGGAAGACTCGCTCTTCTTACGCTTCTTGGGCGTCTTCTTGGGGGTCCCGCGACGAGTCGGCGGTCTGAGCACGCACACGCGCACAGCCCACAGGTCACTCGCGCGATAACTCAGCTAAGCGTCTCGCACAAAGACAATGGTCTCTGTCCTTGCAGCAGCAGCTTCTGGCTAAACCTCGAATAAAGACCGTCACCGTATCACAATTTCACACGCGCTTCAGCGGTCGTCTGGAACGCTCTTCCTTCGGATATTTTCACGCCACCGGAGCTATGCACTTTGAAATCACGTAGTTTGAACACTAATTTATTTAAAACAGCTTTTTGTGTTTAGTTTGATGTCCTTCCCCCGCACCTCCGATAAGCTCGGTTGGCTTCGTAGGGTGAAAAATAAATTCAACATACATAGATAGACAAAGATCCCCTGGATAGCCTTAACAGACTGGGGCAAGTCAGTTACACCTACGAAGGCCGGCACGGCACACGGGGGGGGTGGGTGGCCGCCTTCGTCTTCCCAGTGGCGATGTTTACACACCGCACCAGGTACTCATTTGAGGCTGAATCGACCTAGGGGAGGCCCGGGACCGGTTCAGATAATCGTTACTGGTGTTGGCCGTGAGCGGGAATCGAACCCGGGTTGCCGAGTTTATAGCGCAGCGCGCAAACCACTAGGCCACCACTCCCCACACACAGAGCCACAGTTACACACACAGAGCCAATCACTCGTGCAACAACGCAGCCACTCTTGCGATACACAGCCAGTCACGCACGCACACAGCCACGGTCATGCACAAAGCCACAGTCACACAAACTGTCACAGTTACACAGTCACTAATGCAAAACACCTCCGATTAGCACGGTTGGCTGCGTACTGTGCGAAAGAAGTTCAACATACATATACACATAAGCGCAGCAGGCCACTCAGGATTGGCAGCTCGTCACTCACGCCGCATCAGCATCCTCACCCCCCCCACACCACCACCCCACGGCTGGCTTGGCAGGGGGGGGGTGAGGGCTTCTGCCGGGGTACCTGGCCGGAGGTTTGGGCGGAGGACGCCGCGACCGGACTTTGTTTTGGGGCTCGTAGTCCGAGGCACTCCCTTCGCTGCTGTCATCTTCCTCCTCCTCCTCTTCCTCCTCCTCCTCCACGCCGTCGTCACCCGTTCCGGATGCTTGCCAGTCCTCACTGGGAGAGCACGTGGGGGGGGGTTGTGTCAACGGCGCTGCTATTGCGTTCATCTAGCGCAGCAGCAGTGCCTATGGACCCAAGTCAAGAGCTTAGAAGCTGGAGCAGCAGTCGGTGGTGCAGGGTGCACATCTTCAACTCAAAATACACTTCCGTAGACCTAAACGGAATGGACCCCACGCGTCTAACAAAGCGCACAGCAGCACCCGGCAGCGACACGTCGGCCGGACGGTCGTTGCAGTCATCAATTTCGCCGCAGCGCCATAAACACAAGCGCGCTCCCGGTGGCGTTCTTACTCAGGTCTCCGCTTGGCACGTCCCTTCTGCTTGGGCGAGTCCACCTCCGAGTCGTCGTCGCTGGTGCCCTCCTGGAAACCAGCGCGCACACCAACGCACGCACGTCAGCCGGAGGCCAGCCACGCGCCAGCCGCGGGGGGGCCTGCCGCCAGAGCCGGTCGCCGGCAGCTCACCGAGACGCAGCGCCGACAAACCGCTCCCATCTTGGCAGGCCGCGTTCAGAGACGTGCGACAGAGAGTTCGCAGCTCCGTTCGTTACTCGATTGCCAGGCAGGGTCAGGGATGAGCGAGCGACCGGGTGCGCGAGTTTGGGTTTGGTCATCGCAAGCATAAGCAAAGCGGAGCGGGGGCTGGGGGCAAGACTAACAAAAACATGCAAACCTTAGACTTTGCCAGTTTCAGTGAAGCTCACAACACGGTAAACGTGCGTTGCTAGTTTTTGTTTTGGGTTTACCCGGAGATTAGCAGACGCACCGAGCACGTAGCGATGCGGGAGTCGAAAGAGATTTAAACCGGGTGGACACCCCCCCCCCTACCCCACTGAACAGAACACGCAACGGAAACGCGACAAGCGACCCCCGTTCGGGTCAAGTGCCGGTGCCGTACTTCGCTCATGTCACTGCAAACGACATACTGGAGCGACGTCACGGCAACACGCCCCAAGACAATTTTATTATCTTTTCTTCATACTTTGCTCTCTTCGCCCACCCCCCCTTCTAGTCTTAACTGTGCTGCTGGAGTTGAAAAAAAAACCATCTCCAATTGGAACTCTCGAGGAACGGCCCCAGGAAGAGAGCGCCACGGGCGCGCGTGACGTCGCCACTTTAGGTCCCCTTTAACCATGTCGTCAGGGGCACGCGTTTGGGGCGAACCGGCCGAGATCATGAGCTGGCTACATTTTTCAACCAGGGAGAATCACAGGCAGCTGAAAACTTGGGATTCAAACCCAGGTTTTTTAACTCGGTGGCGCCGACTCGGCCATCTGAACCTTGAAGCCCCCACCCGCCCAGCTTTCACGTAACTTCCTTGTCTCTCATGGAACTAATAAAGCTTCAGGTCTGTGGGACACCCCAGGACGTGGCACGGGCTAGGCACGTCTACCAAAGAGCTTGTTTGTCATTAGAGTCGCACCTTCCTTTAAATTGGCGACCTCCACCCCCCAATCCCCATCAACCCCACCCACCCCTCGCGACACCCAGTCTCCCACGACATGGCCTTACCTCCACCCGGCTCACATCTAGACGAGACGGCTCTTGACGCGAACGGTTTGACCTCCTGACCCCATAAACATCAGGGAACTCTTCCCACATCTGCAAACACACAGCCCCCCGTCATCATGGACCCCTTCCCAGGACAGCCCCCTCTGACAGGAGGGAGCGGTAGGTGGGGGGGGGGGGGGAGTTAGGTAAGGGGGTTAAGAGCTGGGGGATAGAGGGGTGCAGAGGGATGGGAGCAAGATCAGAGCTGGGGTTTCCCACACCCCCCGACACGGGTGAGAAACCTTGTCCTTATAATACAGGAACTCCTCTACTTACGAACATTCCACTTACAAACGTTGAGATACGAACAAACCTGCCTGTATGTCCAGTTGCCTGTCCGGACCGAGATTCGAAAGTTCAACCGCCGCGCAATAGATGGCGGTGGTGGTATCTACATCTGCGGAACGTGATGTACCGGTGGCATCTACATCTACAGGAGATTATACAGCTTTTAAAGCCATTCCCCGTGTTTAGTGTACACGCCGTACAACACGTTTGGAATCGGCAGGAGCGAAGTTGGACTTACGAACAGACCTCTGGAACCCAACTCGTTCGTAAGTAGAGGAGTCCCTGTAACAATAACTGATTGTTTACATTGTCCACAACAAGCACTTAAAATCGCCCACCCCTCATAAACATACCAATTATTCACCTCTCCAAGCAGCGGACAAACAAATGAATCGAACCTCTTAATCCCCTACACCAACAGACATGTCAAGAACATCCCAGTTTGTCACTGCCCGCTTTTTGTCTCTGAGCACAGTTTTTGCTGTTTTATTTAGCCAGGGAGGGGGGTGCAGGGGGGCCCAACCCACACCTCATGGCAACCTGTCCAAAGAGCCAAACAGGACTTCAAAATAAGTTTTAGCGGGCCGTACATCAGCACAAACACAAGCCGAGACACAGTTCTGTCATTGTAAAGAGGCCTTTGCGTTCACAGCAGTTGACCGAGCACTGGACTCAATAGAAGCGGCACGCTGTCGCCAGCTTCAATAGATTCTCCTGCAGAACCGGACCCTGCGACTCTAGGATGGGTCTCGCGAACATAAATTGTGGGCCATGTCCAGAGCCCACGCGGCACCCCGCCGGAGGTTTGTCAATGCACGGCTCCTTTGGTTTCTCCCAATTACATTCCAAGTGCGCCATCAGCGTCGTGTGTGTGGCAGTGCCAACTAGTCTTCGGTATGGAACTCCAGAAAGCGGGCAGTGCACCACCTTGTGAACATCCTGCCAGATGAGGTCATCTGGCAGCACACCAGCTATACTCCTTGCAAGTGGTTTGTTGAATGACAATCACAACCAAAACGTATTTAACATTCACTGAAACTAGGAAAGGCAAAGCTTCGTGTGAAACGGTATTTAAAATTTTTAAGATCTCAACATCGACCACCGTCAATCAACTCGTGTGCCCACGGGCTGGGAGCCGCTAGTCTAGCAGCAGCAGCACCATTATCATCACCACCATGAAGGTGGTGGTGATCTGTGTGCGATCCTGTGTGCGATCCACCACCTGGTTCGTTACGGCCACCTCGCTCAGCCTCAACCACTGTGGTCTCGGGTGTGGGGCGTAAGCGGCGTTACCTTCTTAACGTCGGCAAGTCGCTCCTTGCGCGAGGGCCGCCGGTTTTGCCGCTGGCCCGGTGAGCCATCCCCTCTCGAGGTGGCTCCTTCAGACCCCGAGCCGCCGGAGCCTCCCGAGCCGCCGGAGCCGCCAGAGCTGCTCTCCGATTGGCTGCCCGAGTCATCGCCGCTCTCCGACTGGCTGCCAGACTCCGAGCCGGAAGCCGATTGGTTGTCGTCCTCAGAGGCGGCGCTGCTGCGGGAAACGCGGAGTGGAGGCGGGAGCGGGGATCAGGGCAAGCAACTACGCAACCACCACCGGAACTACAACTCGACAACAATTACAACAGAAACCAACTCGCCGCTACAAAAATTACACAAGCACCATCTGCCACAGGTGATGATCACGGCAATAATTAATTACAAAACTGAGCGGTTGGCTGCGTGGCTAATGAGCGCCAAGCTGGGCGGCACAGCCGAGAGCCTGGGTTTGAGTCCAGGTTCCTGGGTTTGAGTCCAGGTTTCAGCCACTTCTAGCAATTAAACCGGGTTCTCAAGTGCGATGAGTTGATAGCTCTCAGCCCGGTCACCAGTGACAGCACCAAAAAACAAAACCCCCATCACGATAAATTAGATTCCGCGCTTAGTTTACCTCAATTTCAAATCTGACAATTAAAAATAACAGTTTGACTGCCGTGCGATGAACGTTACTCGTCACACTGGAAGACGTCCACACTGTGCCCTGCACAGCAGTAAAAAGGCATCACTACTGGACCTCATGGAATGACCGTAGACACAGTAGACACAACCGGAGGAGTTGTTGGGAACAAAACAAACTCACATTCTTCAATAACACGGTGGCCTTTAACAGAAAAACTATATCATCAGGCGACATTTTGGCAATGACTGGCCCTTCTACACAGCAGATAAACGTGGGTTTGCCAGGAGACGTTGCTCGCAGAGACCGATGGCCGTTGGTCGAGCCTAATGACCAAGTGGCGGCCAAAGGAAGGCCACACGCACCCTGGATGACATCCACCGTAGAGATGGCAGTGACATCGGCAACTCATGTGCGGGACCTAGACGCTCGTTACATCGGGAGACCGAGAGAGACCAGTGGTGAAGGCTTTGCGAGGCCATCCTGTCCATTTCTGGCCTACGGTTATACCCACCGAGAGGAATTTCTACCATCAGAGGTAATGAGCGATAAACAGGCGACGAATGCCGTCTCAACCTTGTTTGACAACACTGCTTTGATTTTTTTAGTTGCAAGCCATGGGTGATGTGAATACCCAGCTCTGCCTGTGAACAAATCGCGCCGTAATCAGCCCGATCCACACGGATGCAAGGAGCTAAGCAAGTCCGAGTCAAGACAGCCCTTAGAGTGGGGGACAACAATGCCCAACAGGTTGTTTGTTACAGGCTGCTAGGGGTTACATGATGGGCTGAGGGGCAGTGCTGCAACATCCATTGTTGTATCCTACTTCTCCGCTCCGACATCGAGCCTTCACGAACCCACACCGACCGACGCAATGAAGCACGCTAAACAAAAATATCCCTCGCGCTCACAGCACGGCCGGCATTGGAGAGGCCCTCATCTAGGAGTGGATTGACAAGACGGCTGCTGTACAGAGACGCATATACCAGACGTTCGACTCGTGTGGCCTCCACAACGAGCTTAAATTGCAGAGTGGACAGGTTCTAACCTCAGCGAAAAGTCTCCCAACTCGACGCCTGTGGCCCCCATTGTTTTCACAAAATGCACCATCCACACTGTGGCCTTCTCTCACTCATTTGCCCAAAGGTCCGTCCGCTCACGAGCTTCAGGGCGAACGAGGGTAGTTATAGTTTCGTGGGCGCCGCTGCTCACCGCGCCAACGAGGGCTGGGCATGAGATGTGGAAGGAAAATAATATTCATTGGAAATTAATTATTCTAGAAATTCTGTATCTCACCCAACCATATGTTCCTCCTCAACAATATCCAGGATTACTTAAAGCACCTTTATCCAACGAGCATCATAAATTAGAATGCAAGATGGGACAAAACAAATAAATATTTATTTTAAACAGCACGTGGTTTGGGGATTTAAACCTCACGTGGTTTGGGATTTAAACCTGTAACCACCCTAGGGCAATCATCCACTTGCCTCAGGCCAAGCCTAAGAGGCCACTCGCCCATGTGTTTTTACCACTTTCCACCTCTCTGGCCTCTACACGTGCTGCAAAACAAGGCCCACCCACCTATTGTATACTTTTTCTCTTCAAGACAAGGGTGTTATTGACGAACATTTCGCATCTTTTGTTGTTATTTGTGCACCACTGCCAACGTGGCAGTATCTCCACGTGACGTTGTTTTTATATCACGGTGACCCCCCTCAGGTGCCCCAGTGTTTGTCCCATACCGCCACACATTCAGATATACATTGCAGGTCAAAAAAGGTTAACTGCTGCTAATAAAAATGACAAAGAACCTGATTACAAGACACCGCACTTCACTTTAATTTACATACGTATCTTGAACTTTTCGCACTAGACGTAGCGAGCCGTGGCTAATTGCAAGGGCGGGGGCAAGAACAAACTAAACACAAACAATTCTAAAGGAGTTTACAATTTAGATGACAAAGTATATAGCTCCAGTGGCTTCTGAATATACATTGAAACGAAGGGCGTTCCAGATGACCTGCAGAAGCGCATCTGAAAGCACGCGATGCAGTTGACCGTCTTCGTTTGATTAGAAGCCGAAAGACGCTGCTGCTGCTGCTGGGGACGATCGTAGCTTGCGTGATGGTTTATGCTCCTTGACGAGATCAGCGAGGTGTTGTGGTGAGCACTTTGTGCGTAGTGAGCGACCGTACAACGTATTTAACCGTCACACCTTCACGCGCCTCGACTCGCCCCCCCCCCCCCCGGAGCAAATCGGCAGCAACACGGGACACCGGGCGCATGTTACCGTAACGGACGCAGCAACCCAAATGGCATTCATTGGGCATTGCCTCTGAACTTTACACAAACCCTCCGCCAAAGACAGAATTCCTCCAAAACCGAGGGTCGAATTTGCCGAAAGGAACCCGCGAAGGAACCCGGAAGAAAGGAGGACGATGAGAAGAAACTGAATTTCGATTTAAAGCTTTCGTGACTGCAGGGATTCATCTTCTTGTTTCTTTCGGTAAAGTCACGTCTTCTACGTGACTTTACCGAAAGAAACAAGGAGAAGAAACTGGGCTGGCGTCAAAACTCAAAACGGGTGAATGGCTCTGGAAAAAGGACACAGTCACACGTGTTTGGGGAGACCTCCCCCCCCCCACTGTAAAGATGGTCCCCATTCATGGAGTTAGTTTAACAAAGCAGTTAATTCTGCCCCCACCCCCAGGGGTGTTTGGTGAACCAGCGAGCGTATGCCCCTCGTGGCCGTTGGGAGAGCACCGGCAAGCCTGAGCGTGGGCGAGCGAGAGTCCGGCGCTCTCTGCTGGCAGCTTCCGGTACTGCACCACTGAGACCAGCACCACCACCACCACACGATTGCCTTAACCAGCCCGAGCCCGCACGCTAAACCCGACGTAACTCATCAAACAGCTGCTAACCAATGCCACCACCACACTAGCTATTCGCCCCACTCACCCCTGAGACACCACAATCGGTCACATGCCCGCCCACCAATTAAGGTGGGGGCACCAGCAATTATTTCACTATTATGTACTGCATTTTATAATAACCAAACGCATATCTTTAGAGTCTAATTATCACATTACTTGCACTAACACACTTGTCTAGGTTATCAAGCGAGTGCTGCCTCTGTGATAGCGCAGGCCTGAGGCCCCTGGTAGGCCCATGGGCCGGGGCCACGTCCAGTACAGTTGCTCATCCGTCACTGATAAAAACAGCACGGGCAGCCATTTTGTGAAATGCACATACATACAAGCTCCTCACAAAATGGAGGCTTGCTTGCTTGCAAATTGAACGTGCATGCGAGGCTACGCCTGCGCGCCCCCCATTGCCGGGCACCACGGTGGGGAGGGTTTCGTCGCAGAACGCCATCGTCGGGAGGCAGCCCGAGCTCTTACGGGGTGCCCTCACAATGCAAAACGAGGCACAAGATGCCACGTGAGGCCACCCGTTCACGAAGAAGCTGATTCAAGTGAGTTAAAAGGCACACCCCGTGCCGTCCAACTTTTTGGAGTTTGTCAAACCTTTCAAAAGCAGACTGCGGCCAAAAAAGGACGGCCGATGTGGTGACCGAGGCCACCGTGGCCTGCAAAAGCTGGCTTATTCCCATCAATTTGAAGTTGCCATGCAGAAAACTCAAGAAATAGCTAAGAAATGAAGGACGTCAATGGTAAAATTGATCATAATCAACATAATTTCCAAGAAAGCTGGCAATCGGGATGATAACGGAGATGTTGACGGGGGTAATAGGTGCGTACGGCACCAGGCAAGGGCCACAGAACACCTGAAAGTGGCCACTGGCACAGGTGGCCATGGAGCCACCACCTCAAAACCAAAAGCCAATAGGGCAAGAACATTCGGAGTGGGGGCTACCAACCACATGAGCTCAAAAAGACCTCAATAATTTCACTACCTGCTCCAAAATCCACCATCAAAGGTCGCTTGCTTGAGAGTGGGTTGACCACCAACCTCCTCACCCAGGCCCCCTCCCAAGAGCTCATGGGGGCCCAACCGGATATCAAATCACAGGCGCGCTCCATCCGCTGAACACAACGTTTGCAGGTTGACTTGGGAGGTCTCATGAGAGCCTACGTCACAACAGCAGATGTATAAATGCACAGGCTTGGCTGGGGGGCATTGGGATGGAGTTGAACTTGGTTTCTTGAAACCATTAAAACACTACAACAGGTGCAAGTACCATGCACCCCTCAACCTTCTTGCCACAGGGGCCATTAGAAAAGTCCACAATTGCGGACGCACCAAACCCACAATCGCAAGCAAATCAAGTGCGATGCGAAGTTCATGGAAGGGTTCAGAATATAGGACATACACCTGTGGAAGACACATTCATGTGCATTGCAACACACTATTTGGTCCCATCATCAGGGTGCAGCATACACACGGATGAGAAAACTGAAGAAATGTGGTCAACAAGCAGAGCCTAAAGATGCACCTGGGCTGCAGCCTGACAAGAATCACGCTAAATGAAGGCATCTTGCAACTCCACCAAGGTCCAACTATAAACATGTGGGCATCTTCAGCAGTGACACGTGCACACACCGCACAACACGCCATGCACGGGGTGGTGGTAC